TAGTAATTCTAAGCTGTAATCTGCCTTTTTCATTCCCATCCTCTCAGGAATACACAATGGAGTTTACCAGAAGCTACATTCTGTGTGATATTACAGATTGCACCAGCAGCAGATGAGAATGCAGCTGTCTTCAATTAAGCCAGACATTAAAGAGATTTGTAAAAATGAAAAACAATGTCACTCTTTATAGTAGATTTTTTTAGGGATCTATAATTTAAAATGTTATTTATACTAACATGTGATGACTTTTTGTTATTTTAAAGTAAATTAATAGGTCATTATCTTCACAATTTCTCAGCTTTAATGTCAAAGACAGTAAATGACTGCAGTACAGTAAATGACCTAGAGAAAGAAAAATACTTCAGGGTCCTTAGTAATTTATAGATATGTAAAATCAGGAGACCAAAAAGTTTGAGAATATTTGCTCTAAAGTGATATTCTCCACTGTTTGCTAAAAGAGAGAAAAAAGTTTCTACTCTGGCTTTGCTATATTCCTTATGTTGTTACTGACTGCCCATCAAAATGATGTCAGAAAACTTAAATTTCTCTCAGTTGCTTTTCAGCTTATTTACCTCTAATTACCATGCTTGGGCTTCCAAATAAAGAAGAATGATATTGCTTACCTGTGCTCGATCGTTTCCTTGACAAAAAAGTGGTCTGGACGGTTTCAGGTTCCTTTCTTTGCAGGAGGCTGTGTAGAAAGTGCCAGCCCCTTCAGCAGAAAGCATCTAAACTACCACACTCCCCGCTGCTGTTCCAGCCGGTGGCTGTCGGAGGAAGAGGGAGGGATGAGGAAGAGAATTGAAGGGAGGAGACTGGGCACGTCTTGGACCCGCCTTTAAACGTGGGCTCTTTAGGGCACTAAATTGTCCGGGAATGTGGGTATTTCTTTAATGTCCAATCATTATTATAATGAAATAATTTCTTCTGTAAAAGTTGGAGTTCTAGCTGCCCAAAGTTTGTACCTCTTTCAGAAGTATATCCAAGCAACTTTTAAAAAAGCATCTACCAATTGGAAGCATTTTGTTCACATTAATCTGTTTGAGACTTTCTTCTCGTATTTCAGCACAACACTTTCTTAAACAGTGCTGCATAATTAGCCCTATTAGAATAATTCATATAATGTAATTATAGCACCTAAAATGTAACTTTTGAGAAGTAGAATGTAAATATTACAGTCTTGGAAATAATTAGTAGTGACAAAGCTTTTTATACAAATTTTTCTTGAACATATGCTAAATCATACCAACTTGCTAGCAAGGTAATTAGCAAAGTGACTTTTGGTTTTTGCTTTTTTGCCAGTACAGAGACTTTAAGGAAACGGGGGTGGGGGGGACAGAGGGGGAGTGTGGGGTGTGTGTGTGTCCTAGAGCTAGGAATAAAAATGCTTACATTAGCAGCTAGTTTTATTTTTTGTTTGTTTGGTTTTCAAGAAGATCATAAAAGCCAGAACCGGTTTGGCTCAATGGATAGAGCGTCGGCTTGGTGACTGAGGGGACCCGGGTTCGATTCCGGTCGGGGGCATGTACCTTGGTTGCGGGCATGTCCCCAGTACGGGGTGTGCAAGAGGCAGCTGATCGATGACTCTCTCATCAATGTTTCTAACTCTCTCTCTCCCTTCCTCTCTGTATAAAAATCAATAAAATATATTAAAAAAAAAAAAAAAAAAAAAGAAGATCATAAAAACATCATGCCCACAGTAGTGATTATGAAATAAGTCTATGTCAGGGTGGTTGGAGGTCCTTGGGATGGTGGTTATCAGAAGAGAAAGTGCACATTTAAGAAGTGTGTGATAAAAAAAGAGAGGAGTGTATGATAAGAATGTACATATAATTGAAATTGAGATAATGAGTTTTCTCAATTGTAATATCCAATCGGGCCAGTCAACATGGAAGTATAAAGTGGAATTAAACAGTGATCAGGAACAGAGGACCAAACAAGTTAATTTTAAATGGCTTATTGCCAATTACTTTTCTCCAACTATAAAAATGTAGAATGCATAACAACCAATTTCTTAGTTTTGGGACACACATTTTATTTATTATTATTATTTTTAAAATATATTTTATTGATTTTTTTACAGAGAGGAAGAGAGAGGTATAGAGAGTTAGAAACATTGATGACAGAGAAACACTGATCAGTTGCCTCCTGCACACTCCCCACTGGGGATGTGCCTGCAACCGAGGTACATGTTCTTGACCAGAATCAAACCCGGGACCTTTCAGTATGCAGGCCAACTCTCTATCCACTGAGCCAAGCCGGTTTCTGCTTGGGATACACATTAAAAAAAAAAATTAATTGAGTAACCCAAATTTTCTGCCTATTTCATAGGGTTGTTTGTGAAGATTAAATCAGATGATGACAGCCCTTTGAATATTTTAAAGCACTAGACAATTATAACTCTCCACACCCTCTCACTTATTTGTACTCATTTAGCTTTATGCAATGGAGACAAGATTTTCTAGAAAAATAAATGGCTTTTTCACAAACAGCCAATAAACAAACATATACACATAATACTTAAAAGTCTGTATAACAACTAACATTTAAATAAGCCAAAGGGGAAAACATTATGTGTTAAATATAATTTGTGTCAATTATTAACAAAAGTCGGGCCAGTATTCCCTCAGAGAAAAGTATTTATTAGGGAAAAAAGAAAGATGACAATCCAAAATGTGTAGCCATGGCTAACCATGGAGTTTCTTGCTTGGATAAAGAAGAGGAGGTACTTGATAGAGGGGAAGAGGAAGTCCAGGCGAGGGGGTGCCAATACCACAGAGTTCTGTGATAAACATAGAGCTCTTCTTTTTGAAGACATAGGATGTGAGAATTTCTCCTGTAAGTCCTCCATAGTCCAGTCTAGGCTAAGGCATGGGTCATAAATTTTAACAGGTGCAAGATTGGGTACCTGGAATTTATGGGGGTGGGGGTGGGGAAGGGTGTCATTGACCTTTGTTTTATGAGCTGATATTCTTTTTTTCTTCCACATCTGCTAACTGGGCATAAGTTTAGAATGTCTATCTTTGAAATTGCAGGGCAAAGTCGCTGCATCAAAGCACCCAATAGACTAAGCTTCAAGTATGTGGGCCATGCATGTACAAAATATGTTTTGAAAGCTGTCAAGTAAACTAAACTCGTTTACACACCAAGAAAGTGATTTTCGAAAATTATGCTATTCTCAAAGTTCTGCTGCACCAAAGAAAAAGAGGTTAAATAATGAAGGCTCTGATCAAGGAGTCTTGCTTGCAGCCAGGGGAACTCGGATATAAACCCTTTCATCACCCAGACCATCCGGCACAGGATGTAAACGTGGCGGGGGGGAGTACTACTTTGTGTTCCTTTACTGCGATTCAGGTGGCCAGGTCACAGTCTGGGCTTGCTCTGTCAATTCTCCCATGTTCTTTTGGGGGAGAACAGTCTCAGATTTGTCTCTTCGTCCCCACCCTGCAAAGCGGGGAGAGATTTTTGTTTTTTTTGGCGAGTCCCCGTCGAAGGCGTGAGCGGGAGAGAAGCGGAAGAAAGCCACTTCCGGTGACTGAGCACGCTGCCCGCCAGGCTACAGGGGCTGCGGCTGCCGGTCACGCGATTGACGGCTGCAGGTCACGTGATCGGCATGCGCTGCCTGCCGGGAAGGCCAGCTCTCCTGCCGCCTTCGGAGTCTGCGCACTCGCGCTCGGGGCTCCGGTTCCCGCGGTCTAGGCAGCTGCTGGCGGGAGAGCCGCTGGTGAGGAGAGGTCCTGAGCACCGCTGGCGGGTTTGGTGGGGCTGGGGGGATGGCCTGTGCTTGTGGGGGCAGTGGAGAGGGTGCAGGCCTCCCGGGGGTCTCCTGTGGCGTAGGGAGGAGAGAGGGCGGGAAGTGAGGAAGCACGAGGCCGAGTGGCCCGAGGGCCGCGGCGGCCTGAGGGGAAGAGGAGGCCGGGAGCGAGGGCGTGAGGCGCTGTGAGGGCCCTGTCACCCGCCCAGGCCTTGTGTGGTGACGGAACATCTGTTTTTTCCAGAGGGAGAATGGCCTGGTTGTAGAAGTTGTAGTTTGACACGCGTGCACGTGCAGTTGTTCTGAGAGGAGAGAAGAGGTGGGCGAGGACAGGAAGATACAGGGGAAGCGGGGAGAGAACCGCGTCCACGTCGGCTTCTGGGACACAAACCTCCTGGCAGAGCCTGCGGGGCCCGCGGGGCCGGTGGTATTTTCCACGCGACGCCGGTGACGCCGAGGGCGGTGGCATTATAGGGAATTCAGGAAACACATATTTATTCCTTGTTGCTGGCTAATACAAATGAAGACTATATGTGACTAGTCAGCCAAAACAGTGATCGACGTCAGCATACTTTCTCAACATCAGGCTAAATGCTGTAAATGGGTAACTTGAGGTATAGGGACTATGCCGTTCTAGGCTTCAACATTTTTCCTTTAGTAAATGTAATCTTTCAGATTCATAGGGAAGTTATCTTCAGAACTTACAGAAAAGTAACTCAGAGGTAAAATGGGATGCCACGTGAAAGCAGAAGGAGACAGTGGACATAACCACAGGCTGGAAGAGGTCTGGCCTAATCCCAGTTTTACTTGTTTGAAGTTGGTCAGCCATCTTTGCCCCTGTTTTCATGTCTGTAAAAAATGAGGTAGAGTAGACTTAGATGAACAGTGTTTGAGTTCTGAGACATTGTGAAGGTAGAAGCATCTTAAATGAACCCTGGGACAAGGCAGAAGGGCCAAAGACATGAGTTTGGCTGGCTGTACAAAGAGGGAGTAGACGAAAATCCTGGGAATGGTAGGCTAGGCCCAGGTGATGTAGGACTTCGGATGGAATTTGAACTTATTCTGTCTGGAGCAATGAGTACTCAAGGTCAAGTTTTTGAGATAAGGGAATGCAGTCATTATAGTTATGAAAGTTAAGGAATATGGTAATCAGAGTTTTGAAAGACTGCCCAAACAGCAGTGGGTAGGGTGACTTAGAGAAAGGAGAGATGGGGAGGTTTAGGTAAGTGACAGGTAATGAGAGCCTAAATTAACACTGGCAATGGGTGGAAAGATTCAAGGGATCTGTGTAGCATGGAGTTTGTACTTAAGTTTGGCATTGCTCTAAATTTTGCAGCTCTTACCTCCAGATTATGATGGCAAACCACCTTGTAAAACCTGATACCAGAAATTGCAAGAGACCCAGAGAGTTGGAGGTAATCTCTATGCTCTTCCCAGAGCCTTAATACTTTATTGTATATGCTTCTCAAATATCTTCCACTCAAGAAAGTTCTATTGATAAATGGAATTTAAATTTTCATATTCCCAGAGCTGGGATTGTTCCAGCAGGAACTATATTGACTCCAGCTGCTTGTTTACTAAGTATATGGGAAAACCTCCAAGAAACTATTGGGAGATTTCTTTGTGGTAATTTGTGTCTAGAGACACAAGTGCATTCATATCTTTATGAAATCTAGGACTTCCAATACTTATTTTGCTATAATAAGTAGTAGTACTGGAGTTGCTGAAATTTTATTTTATTTTATTTTTTATTTTATTTTTTTAAAATATATTTTTATTGATTTTGTACAGAGAGGAAGGGAGAGAGATAGAGAGTTAGAAACATCGATAAGAGAGAGTCATCGATCAGTTGCCTCTTGCACAACCCCTACTGGGGATATGCCCGCAACCAAGGTACATGCCCTTGACCGGAATCGAACCCGGGTTCCTTCAGTCCCCAAGCCGACACTCTATCCATTGAGCCAAACCGGTCCCGGCGAGTTGCTGAAATTTTAAAATTAGAACACTCTTCTGCTTTTCTTCACTACTGTTTCCACCAATTGATGTTTAAATTTGGGACATTGTTATCTTGCAAAATTTTTCAAGCATTTGGCTATTGTCTAAATTAAAAGTTTGCTAGATAGCCATGAAAACATCTACTTGTTCAAGGTACAGGAAACTTTTTCATTAAGAGGTTAATAACATTCAAAAAAGTAAAAATAAAATTTAGTATATTGAACCAGGTGCTTGTTGGGACCAAAAGTTTACTTGGTAATAAAATTTCAAATGAATTAGCATTTAATTGCAAATATAATTAGCAAATGACAAGAGCCTATAATTTCTAGCATGTTTTCTTTTTTTTTTTATGAAAGGTGTTTTATTTGCTTTAAATAAATAGGATATATATATATTCTAAGGGTTCTGTTAAATATTTACCTGTTTTCTTTTACTTTCTTGTATTAGCCTCAAATGCCAGATAGTCCCCAACTGTCCTCTCCTGGAAAATCAGATGCCTCTTTCTCTGAAAGCTCTGGACTATTTTATAAAGATGAAGCCCTGGAGAAAGATTTGAATGGTGTTGTATAAAATGCTTATATTTCTGTATACTTATTTTTATAATCAGAAGGTTTGTTATATTTCATAACACAGTGTTTTTTTTTTTAATAGATATAAGCAAGGAAATTAGTCTAATGTTGTCTACATATGCAAAAATTTTAAGGTAAGTACTTATATTTTCGAGTCTTGATCTTAGAAGTTTTCTTCAGGAAATTCCATATGGGAACTTTATGTTCAGTGACTGCAGAACCTATCCAGTTACTGTAATTTTGGAATTTTTAAATTTGACCTTAATTTCTTATAATAATTTAGTTTGTTATTTTCGAAGAAAAGCCCTTCTTTGTTGAGTGGAAGGGAGGGAGAGAGGGGGAGAGAGGAAAGTGAGAAAAGAGAAACATTGATGTGAGAGATGGGCTGTGATGTTCACACAGTGATCAATTCACCAGAAGACACATTTCTGCAAACATATCCCCATCATTAAGTGAAGCATGACTGTATATAGTTTGATATTAGAATTATAATGTATAAGATACATATTCTGCTGTGTTAGGAGAATTTAAATATTTGTGAGACTAATTTAACTTTTATCAAAGTATTTGTAAATTACTGAAGCTTTCTGATGTTCAAAGCTATTTAAACGAAATAGCTAAAAAACATAGCATAAAAAAGAACATAACCATGATAGTGTGTTTTGATGTTGTAACTATTTAGTCTAACATTAGCCTTTTTTACCCCATCAGTGAGAGAGCAGCAGTAGATGCTTCTTTCATCGATGAAATAGAAGGACTCTTCAAAGAAGCCAATACTATTGAAAACTTTCTAGTACAAAAAAGAGAGCTCCTGAGACAGAGGTTTACAGTTATTGCAAATACACTACACAGTTAAAAGTCGTGTACTTAAAATAAGCTGAGAATTTTAAAACCCATTATTGTTGTAAGGAAATGACATTTATGCTCTAAAAGCTCTCTCCTTGTTAAAATGTATGCCTTACACATAAAAGGGATACACCTTGAATTTCTTTTCTAGACTTAAAGGGGGCTTTAAACTTGATATTAATACCTTTTGAGGGTCAGCTCTTTGGTGTAGTTAAAAAAAGTGTAAATTAAATTATTGATTCTTTTATTTTTTTAACACCCTAGTCTTCAACTTCAAAAAGAGGATTCAATGAGTTAATTTGATGTTTAACAACATTGTACTTTTTGGGGGGAATATTTTATTTAAATAGAAGATAGCATTGGAGATAGTTTTAAAATGTTTTTCATGGTTAGTTTTATAAAAAAAATTAAAACCTACAGGTGAATTGTTCAGTTTCTCAATATGTAGAAAACTATGTGTGCTCTTGCTATTTAATATAATAATTTTATTATTTCACTATTAGTTATTATACATGATTAATAAAAGTTTTTTGTTTATAATTATTTTCTTGTGCTATAATAAAAACCAGAAATAACCAGACCTCATATGAGTTGGCTTTTTTTAATACAACGATGAATTGTACTTAGAAGCATTAACAGTTGTGTGGTATGGGATAAAATTAGTGGTCCAAATGTAAAGAGATTGGGTAAACAACAAGGTGACTGTTGAGTTATTTAAATCCTATTATAATTCAGAAACTAGACTAGTAGATCTCTAATACTTATCCAGCTAAAAATTTTCCCTTTGATGGAAGATACTACTATGATTTTATTGCAAATTTTCAATATGTCATATAATTATACTAGAGGCCCGGTGCATGAAATTCATGCATGGGGTGTTTGTGTGTCCCTCAGCCTCGCCTGCACCCTCTCCAATCTGGGACCCCTCGAGGGATGTTCAACTGCCCGTTTAGATCCGATCCCAATAGGGAGGGCAGTTAGGGATGACCAGGACTGCTGGCTCCCAACTGCTCACCTGCCTGCATTTTTTTTTTCTTTTTTAAATATATTTTATTGATTTTTTACAGGGAGGAAGGGAGAAGGATAGAGAGTTAGAAACATCGATGAGAGAGAATCATTGATCAGCTGCCTCTTGCACACCCCCTACTGGCGATGTGTCCGCAACCAAGGTACATGCCCTTGACTGGAATCGAACCCAGGACCCTTCAATCCACAGGCTGACGCTCTATTCACTGAGCTAAACCGTTCGGTCTGCCTGCATTCTTAATTGCCTCTAACCGTTTCTGCCTGCCAGCCTGATCACCCCCTGACCATTCTTCTGCCAGCCCGATTGCCCCTAACTGCCCTCTCCTGCAGGCATGGTCACCCCCAACTGCCCTCCCCTGCTGGCCCAGTCATCCCTAACTTCCCTCCCTTGCCAGCCTGGTCATCCCTAACTGCCCTCTCCTGCAGGCTTGATCGCCTTCCACTGCTCTTCCTTGCAGGCCTGGTCCCTCCCAACTGCCTTCCCCCGCAGGCCATCTTGTGGCAGCCATCTTGTGTCCACATGGGGGCAGCCATCTTGTGTGTTGGAGTGACAATTTGCATATTACTCTTTAATTAGGATGACATAACTATATTAATCAGATTTTAAAAAATCACAGCACTCATTTTAAAATCATATAGATACTTTAATCTATTGTAAATGTAGTTTGCTGATATAAGCAATCACAAATTTGGACATACTTACAAACAATACCACAAGGAATTTGATATTTTTTAGGTGGTTAGCATGTTTATCTTGCAGCCTTTTAAATCCTATCTAATACAGTGGTGCCTCACACAACGAACTTAATTCGTTCCAGGAGCAAGTTTGTTATGCGAAAACGCGTTTTCCCATAACAATACATGTTAAAAAAAAAATTCGTTCTGTAGCATAAAATATGCTAAGATGACATAAAAAAAGATAAATTTTTTATTATATTTATTTAGATACATCTAAAAACATAATTTTTTTTTAAAAAAACACACATTTTTTTAATTTTAAGACAGACTAGAGTCTACCGAATCTTGCACATCTTCATCCATTTTCTGCTTTTTGGCCGATGGTTTCATGAAAAACCTGTCCAAAGTCGTTTGTTTTTCTCTTTTCTCCAACATCTGCCGGAAATAACGGACAAGAGTATCGGAGTAAAGATCGTTGATCCTGTTTGCTTCAGCTGAATCCGGATAGTGGGCATTGGTAAACTCCTGAACTGCTTTCCATTTGACCAGGATGTTCTTGATGTCAGCAGTTGGGATTGGTTGATTGTTTGATTGTTGCTCCTCGTTATCAGATGACGCTTCCCTTTGAGCATTGTCCTGTTGCTGGACCAGAAGTGCTTGGAGCTCTTTCAGTTGTCAGCTCTTCTTCGTGTTCCTCAATAAGCTCCTCTACATCCTCTTCCTCTACCTCTAATTCCAACCTTTGGGCCACTGTGATGATGTCCTTCACCACTTCTGTGTCATCAACTACTGCTTCTTCCTGGGTCCACGAAGGCACAAGCATCTTCCAAGCAGAAATGAGGGTCCTTTGTGACACTTCTTCCCAGGCCTTCTGTATAAGTCGTATTGCCATAAGGACATCAAATTTCTCCTTCCAAAACTTTCGGACAGTCATATTGTCTCCACCAAACTCGCATTCTTCAAACACCTTATTAAAGAGGGCTCTAGTGTAGAGTTTTTTAAAGTTCGCAATAACTTGCTGATCCATTGGCTGAAGAATGGATGTGGTGTTTGGTGGCAAATACTGCACCTTGATAAAAGGATAATTTTCCTGCAATATTTCCTCTAGGTCTTTTGGGTGAGAAGGGGCATTGTCAAGTATCAGAAGGGCTTTGAGCGGCAGTTCTTTTTCCAGCAAGAATTTCTTCATGGCAGGAGCAAAGGTTTCCAGAATCCATTCGTTGAAGATAACTTGGGTCACCCAGGCTTTTTGATTGGACTTCCAATGGACGGGCAGTTTGGACTTAATAATGTTATTTTTCTTGAAAATTCTTGGATTTTCAGAGTGATAAACCAATAGAGGTTTGATCTTGAGGTCTCCGTGGCATTAGACGAAAACATAAGGGTAAGTCTGTCCTTCATGGCTTTGTGTCCTGGCAATTTCTTTTCTTTTGTAAGGAAGGTTCTGCTTGGCATTCTTTTCCAGAAAAGACCCGTTTCATCGGCATTGAACACTTGTTGTGGGCAGTATCCTTCATCCTTAATACATTTTTGAAAGTTAATAGAGAACTTTTCTGCTTCTTTCTTGTCAGCACTGCCAGCCTCACCATGCATAGTAACGCTGTGGATTCCACACCTTTTCTTAAATCTAAAAAACCACCCCCTGCTGGCTTTGAATTCTTCATTATCTTGATTGCTGCTGCTTCCAGGGACGTTTTTCTTTAGATCGTCATAAATTCTCTTGGCTTTGTGACAGATAATATCTTGGGTTGTTACGTCACCTTTCACCTGCCTGTCCTTAATCCAAATCGCTAATAGCCTCTCCATTTCCTCGTGGATTGAAGACCTATGTTTTTCATGAAATAGTTTTGATACTCCTTTGGCTACTTTGGCTGATTTGATTGCATCCTTATTTGTCAAAATGGTGAAAATGGTGGTCTTGCTGAGGCCAAATTCTTTGACGAGGTCACACTGTTTTACCCCACATTCACTCCTTCTAATTATTTCCTGTTTCATTTCAACAGAAATCACCTTCCTGCTTTTTTTAGAAGCCATGATATAAAAAAAATATTGAGTTTAACTTAAAAGGACGACTGCCGTGATACGTGCGTGATTTAATTCGTAATGAAGAACGATTGCCGCGATACGTGCTTAAGTTAAGCGCAGTGACTAACGACTGCCTGCAGTGCCTGCGCGGAAGGATGCAATACATCGGCAGCGATCGTGGAAGCTCGGGCGAAGCAGTCGTGGAAGCTCGGGCAAAGCGGTCGTGGAAGCTCGGGCGACTTCGTTGTGTGAAACGAAGTTCGTTGTATGAATCATGAAATGAAGTTCGTTGTGTGCAGCGTTCGCTGTGCGAGGCGTTCTTTATGCGAGGCACCACTGTAAAGAGGGAATATGCTAATCGACTGCCATGCCCTCAAAGATGGCAGTGCTCCCAGCCACAAGATGGCGGTGCCCAGTTCCCTTAACCCTGCGGGGCAGCAGGTGTGCCTGCTTCTGGAGTCCCCCAGTCTCCTCAGCCCCGGAGCTGCTGAGGGCCAGCTCGAGGTGCAGGCAAGCCTCAGATGGTGGCTGCCCAGCTTCCCAGGGACACCCAAGGCTCAGGTAACCAAGGCTGGCCGAGGTGTTGCCAGCAGTAGTAGCAGCAGAAGTGTGATGGAGGTGCCAACTTCCCCTGATTTCCAGGTTGCCTCCCACCCCTGAGGGCTCCCAGACTGTGAGAGAGGGCAAGTCTGGCTGAGGGATCCCTCCCATCCTCTAGTGTTAAAATAAAATCTCATTTAATGAAATGACTATTTGAAGATATATATATACTTACCACATAGCATGAATACTAATACAAGGAAGGATTAAAAACAGTAAGAGAACATTTTCTAAAAATATTGTTTATTAAGTAGAAAAATTATTAGGTTTGTATAGGGGTACACTAATGGAGGGCAATGAAGTAACTAATAGAAATGGGATTTTTAAATATTAAATGCAGCCAGAAGACGGTATTTGAATTAATATACCTTATCACCTGGATTTTGAGTTATTCTGTTACCTTGTAGAATTCTTGAATGTTCTAAATACAAAGATGACTATACTGGCCCATCATTAGAAGTCGAGTTAATTTTTTCCTAAGCATTTATTATTAATGTGAAAGCCAAGGCTAACAGAATGTTTCAGAACAGATTTCATAATATACTGGTTATAACTTGATGGTGTTATCATTGTTCAGCATCTGATTCTTCCCTGTGCAGGTACAGAGTACTGATTTGATCTCTTTATTTGGTATATTAACACTGGAACTGATTTTTAGTGAAAAAAATGTGTTTACCTGTCAAAACAAAAGGCAAAAGTTCCTGAATGCCTAATTAAGGCTTATTTTTGTCAAATTTTATTCAGATAAACAAGAATAATTATCTCACCTCTGGAGATATACTATTGTAGGAATACTATTGCCTTTAATTTACACTTCTAATATTCCAATAAAATTTTGCAAGTTTATACTTTTCACTGATTACAAACCAAAATATATATTGAATATCTTTGTGCATCATATTATGCTAGGCACTGTGGGAAATACAGAATAGTTTAAGATACTCTTTGCTCTCCTTTCTGAAAATTTAACCACTCCTTTCTTGAAATACACTTACATGCCTTTGCTGGGAAACAGGACGTGTAAATGTTAAAAGTATCTCTGTGGCAGTGGTAGTATCTCCTAGTGGGAGCAAGAGGGTCAAAGGGTTTTTGTAAAGGAAAGAGGGAGGATATTTCAGGCAGGGAAAAGGTTCAAAGGCCCAGAAGAAAAAAAAATGTGGTATATTTAGAGTTATTTTACTGGATCGAGCATTTACAAAGGGTAATAATGTAGAAACTGCTAGAGTAGGGATTACATTTTGTTTCTTGATATTCTTTTTTTAAAAAAAAATATATTTTATTGATTTTTTTCAGAGAGGAGGAGAGAGGGATAGAGAGCTAGAAACGTTGATGAGAGAGAAACATCGACCAGCTGCCTCTTGCACACCCCCTACCGGGGATGTGCCCACAACCAATGTACATGCCCTTGACCGGAATTGAACCTGGGACCTTTCAGTCCGCAGACCGACGCTCTACCACTGAGCCAAACCGGCTTCGGCTGTTTCTTGATATTCTTAATTTGTAGCACAGTATTTGATACATTGGTGCTCAAAATTTGTTAAATTAATAAAATTATGTATCATTATAACTTTTTTAAAAGGACATGCCTTTACAGGGCCCTATTTATACTAGATCATGAGAAAATGCTTTGCAAATTAAATGAATACAAAAGAAAAGGAAGAATGAAATGCTAGAAAGGCAGAGAGACAAAGGATTAAAGGTAGGTTGTGCCCAGATTGTAGATTCCTTTGGTGATTACATTTGGACTTAATTCTGTACTGAAAGGGGAGATCTGAATCTTTCAGAGGAGAGAGGTGGCTTAATGAAATCCATTCATGGCTCAACTGCTTATAGTGTGAGGACATTTGAAAAGGAGAGTTAGGGAGGGAGACCAGTATTTCAAACAGCTGCTCAGTATAGACAGGTTGTTGGGACACATCGTGGAAAGGAGCCTTAAGAGAGATTGCCTGTGCTTTGAAGCCTTGCCTCTGTCCCCTCCCCTCAACTTTCTCTCCTATTCTGTCAGTGATCCAGAGACATTTCTGCTAGTGAGTGAGAGGATTTGGAAACCACAGGATCTGCTGCTACTTAATATAAAAACGTTTCTTCAACTCTTTCTTCGTTTTATCAGGAATCTTCCTTCCATTGCAGTGGGATTCAGATCTGTGACAGTACACCGGATCCCAGGTAGGTGTTTACCCCTTCCTCCTTTTCCTTCCAGCAGGAACATAGAATTATGTGCCTTTTCTGAAGAATACTGGCAGCTTCTGAGGTTTTCCACTCTTTTTGGAGCAGATACAGGCAGCCAGTACAGAGCTGGGAGTTAAGAGAGTCAGGATTTGTTTACTTGTCAGGGAAACAGCCTTTCCATTGTGTATTTTATACAACATATAGGGGCACGATTCAGGGTTTCAGGATTCTCTTGAATTTGTAATAGGAAGACTATTCACTATTTAGACCATTCTCAAGTGAAAAATCACTGCTATATCCTCTAATGTGAATGTTTGGTTCTTCTATTTGCATTCTGGGGACTTCCTTAAAACCTCTGATATTGTTTTCTAGTGTTCTATTGTAGCTACTATTGTTACATGATTTTATTTCTTGAAATTGGCTGATAGGGAGCTATGAGAAATATTACTGATATGCACTATACATTTTAAAATTATTTAATTCAATAATTCAATGCAAGGCAGCAATGTGCTAGGTGTGGGGATGAAGGCAAAATCAAGATCCTGTACTCAAGGAGTACTGGTAGTAGATGTTATCAAATTTGTTTATTGCGCAAAACAATAAAGTAGGCGATTTAGCAGATGGGAAAAAAAATTTTTTTTTTTTTAGTTGATTTTGTACAGAGAGGAAGGGAGAGAGATAGAGAGTTGCCTCTTGCACACCCCCTACTGGGGATATGCCCGCAACCAAGGTACATGCCCTTGACCGGTATCGAACCTGGGACCCTTCAGTCCCCAAGCCGACGCTCTATCCATTGAGCCAAACCGGTCTCAGCGCAGATGGGAAATTGCATTTGTAGGGGAAAAGTGAAGAATTCTTGTTTGACATGTTGGGCCACTTGCAAAAAGTAATTGGTAAATTAAGGTTCAAGGAAGACTGGTGAGATTAAAGAGTAAAGGTCCAAGGTCAGACCTCAAGAACCCATTCATGAGGTGATAAGGAGAAGAGGAGTCAATGAAGGAAGTTAACATTTGAAAATTAGTACTGTCATTATATTTGGTTATGATGATAGATATGAATGGGAGGTATTATTTCCCATTTATTCCCAGTATCCTTGTTTAGCATTAAAAAACCTATGGTTCAGAGTGATTAGTAACTTGCCCAAAGTGTCATCTAATAGTAGTAAAGCTGGCATAAAGCAAACAAGAGGGAACAGGACTGTTTGAAAAGTGCAATGTCAGGGAAGGCAACATTTTAGAAAGGGGTTCGAGGAGGTGTTGACCACAATATCAAGTACCATAGCAAGGCTGAAGAGCATGCTATAGAGTACAGAACATATAGACATTTAATATTTTCTAAAACATAAAATGTTTTAAATCATGAAACTCTATTCAGACAAATGCCCTATCAGGGTATACAATTTAATTCTGCTTAAATACGAAGAGTAAAATACCTAACCTCAGAGAATTTATTTTAATCTAAGAGGAGAATAAGACAAGTATGCATATATTAATAAAAATAGTAAGACAAATACTTGAGGGTTTCCTCCTCTAGGTTTTCAAAGCCTCCTCTTTATACCTTTAATACTGTGGTTCTCAAATTTTAGTATGCCCAAGATACCTGCTTATGATACCCCAGAAATTCTGACTTTTTAGGTCCAAAGTGGAGTCCATAAATCTGCATGTTAGTCAGAGAACCAGGTATTTTGTTTCAAATAGTCCTCAGACTATACTTTGAGAAATAGTGCTCAAACAAAACACCGATTACAGTGTAAATTACCTCTTTGTATGTCTGTTTACTAGGTGGTAAGTTCCTTTACATCAGGGTTCTAGTATTTTTTTATCCCTCAGCTGTGCCTAACACTTTGTTGATTGATCATTTAAAAAAAATGTATTGAATTTTTACAGAGAGGCAGGGAGAGGGATAGAGAGCTAGAAACACTGATGAAAAAGAAACGTCTGTCAGCTGCCTCTTGCACACCTCCAACAGGGGATTTGCCCGAAACTAAGGTACATGCCTTTGATAGGAATCGAACCTGGGACCTGTTAGTTCACTGGCCAACACTCTATCCACTGAGCCAAACCATTCAGGACTGTTGATGGGTCATTAAAATTTACACGAATAGCCTGGTCAGGTTGGCTCAGTTGGTTAGAGCATTGTACTGTACACCAAGGGATTGTGGGTTTGATTCCTAGTCAGGGCACATACATGGGTTGAGGATCCCATCCCTGGTCAGGGAAACTGATGTTTCTCTCTCTTTCCCTCCCTTCCTTCCTCTTTCTGAAAATAAATGAAACATATCCTGGGATAAGGCTTAAAAAACAAACAAACAAACAAAAAAACCCGCTACATGAATAATAGCTAACATTTTTTGAATATTTACAATTTCTAAAACTTTTCATAACCTAATTCATTTATTTTTTTGTATCCTTAGGAGCAATAAGAATTATTATTATTCCCGTCTTAGAAAGGAGGAAATAGCACAGAGAGGTTAATTATCTTGCTCAAGGCTATTTATTTGGAAAATGGTAGACCAAGATTCAAACCCAAGCATTCTGGAGCCAGGCATAGGCTGGGTCCACACTATTATGTATTACAATATGCTGCCTTTTTAAAAATATATATATATTTTATTGATTTTTTTTAGAGAGGAAGAGAGAGAGATAGAGAATTAGAAACATCGATCAGCTGCCTCTTGCACACACTCTAAAAAATTCCCTAAGCCCTTGACGGGAATCGAACCTGGGACCTTTCAGTCCGTAGGCCAACACTCTATCTACTGAGCCAAACCAAACCGGCTTCAACTATGCTGCCTCTTAAAAAAAAGTGGTATTTAAAATTGACTTCGAGCAATAGATGAGATCTTAGGGATAGATTATTGGGAAGGGCATTCAGGATAAAAGTAAATTTTATTTTGGAAATCAGGAACTAATCAGGTTTGAATTGTTACATATGGCGAAGTAGGTTTCATGTGCTTTAAACTAAATTAAAAAAATTCTTTATTGATTAAAGTATTACATATGTCTCCTTTGCCCCCCTACTGGCATTTCCCCAGCCACTCGCACCCCCAGCACATGCCCTCACGCCTCTAGTGTCTGTATCCATTGTTTATGCTTATAGGAATGCATACAAATCCTTTGGTTGGTCTCTTACCTCTTCCTCCCCACTTCTCTCTGCTTTCCCTTCTGAGGTTTGACAATCTGTTTGATGCTTCTCTGTCTCTGGATCTGTTTTTATTCATCAGTTTATGTTGTTAATTATATTCCACAAATGAGTGAGATCATGTGATATTTATCTTTCTCTGACTGGCTTATTTCACTTAGCATAATGCTCTCCAGCTCCATCCATGCTGTTGCAAATGGTAAGAGTTTCTTCTTTTTTATGGAGGAGTAGTATTCCATTGTGTAGATGTACCACCATTTTTTAATCCATGCATCTGCTGATGGGCACTTATACTGTTTTCAAATTTTAGCTATTGTAAATTGTGCTGCTATGAACATAGGGGTGCATATATCCTTTCTGATAGGTGTTTCTATAAACTAAATTTTTGAAAGATTTGAAAGAAATGGGATAATAGATGTAATATTGTAGAAGAGTTTGCTAGAAGAATGCAAATCTCACTTCAGAGGAATAGTGTCCCTATGTGTTATTCTAGTTTAGATTTTTATATCACTATTTCAGTTTCGTGAAATAAAATAAAGGACTGTGTTTTAAAGTACCTAGTTAGTTATATGTTTGGCCACCCCTTTGTGTGAGGCAATGCTGCCTTGTGAACACTAAGTATGAAATAATAGAAACAATTTTCAGCTCTTTGTTATATAATAACTAGAGGCCCAGTGACAAAATTTGTGCATGGGGGTAGGGTCTCCTCAGCCCAGCCTGCACCCTCTCCAATTTGGGACATCCCTCACATAATCCTGGATTTCTGGCTCCTAATTGTTCACCTACCTGCCTGCTTGGTCGCCCCTAACTGCCCTCCACCCGCCCACTGGCCTGATCACCTCTCACTACCTCTATGTTCAGGCTTATTGTCCCTAACTGTCCCCGCTGCCATCCAGGTCACCTCCAACTGCCCCCCTCTGCCAGCCTTGTCGCCTCTCACTGTCCCCCCTACCAGCCTAATTTCTCCCAACTTCCCACTCCTGCTGGCCTGATTATCCCCAACTTCATCCCCCCACCAGCCTGGTCACCCCTAACTGCCCAGCCCCCTTGGCCTGGTCACACCCAACTTAAGGTGACCAGACGTCCTGTTTTTGGCGGGACAATCCTGATTTTTAACAATTTGTCTCGAGTCCCGCGGCATTTTAAAAAAGTCCAAAAGATTTAAAATAATTTTTCCCCAAAATCGGGACTTTTTAAAAACGCTGTGGGATGTGGGACAAATTGTTAAAAATTGGAATTGCCCCGCCAAAAGTGGGACATCTGGTCACTTTACCCCAACTGCCTCTTCTGTTGGCCTGGTTGCCCCAACTACCCCACGCCCCCGTGCCCGCCAGCCTGGTTGCCCCTAATATCCCCCTCTCCCCCCCCCCCCCCCAATGGCCTGATCACCTCATGCAGCCTGCTGTTTAGTCATTTGATCATTCCTCACTAATTCCCCTGCTGGCCTGGTCATAGGCAGCCATCTTGTGAGGGTGTGAGAGTTAATTTGCATATGATTTCTTTATTATATAGGATGATTTTTTTCTCGTGGTTTATGAACTTCAGGTAATTTATTTATTTATTTATTTATTTATTTATTTATTTATTATTTTAATATATTTTATTGATTTTTACGGAGAGGAAGGGAGAGAGATAGACAGAAACATCGACAGAGAGAAACATCGATCAGCTGCCTCCTGCACATGCCCTATTGGGAATGTGCCCACAACCAAGGAATCAAACCCAGGACCCTTCAGGCCTCAGGCCGACACTCCATCCACTGAGCCAAACTGGTCAGGGTGAACTCCAGGTAATTTTAGACTAGGTATCACTGCATATTTTGGTTTATGACACCCTTCTCCTAGAAAATGCTATGTACATTCATGTGTACATTAAAATAGAAGAAATTAAATTGTAGATCCTACTAAATGCTCCCTAAATTCCTATGAATTTTTCGGGATCACATTCTGGTGTATATAAAGTACTGAGGTCAGTGTAATTATGATAATATTGAATGGTGGTCATCTTATCTACCCGTATTTTTCGGCGTATAAGAAGACCCCCTAATTTTATAGTTAAAACATAGGTTTAGGCCTATATTCGCTGTATAAGACTACCCCCCACTTCAAAGAAAAGATTTACTTTGCCATCAAGATCTGCAGGTAATTTTTGTGCAATTTTGGTCTTTTGCCCCTGCTTTTCGGTTGACTTTTTTTTCATTTCAAAAGTCGTCTTATACGCCAGAAAATACGGTAATAAAAGAGTAATAGGCAAATTGACCATCACTCTAATACATAAGATGGCTGCCCCCAGGTGGACACAAGATGGCTGCCATAAGATGGCCAGCATGGGAAAGCAGTTGGGATGGACCAGGCCTGTAAGGGAGGGGAGTTGGGGGCAATCAAGCCTACAGGGGAGGGCAGTTAGGGGTGACGAGGCCAGCAGAGAAGGGAAGTTGGAGGTGACCAGGCCTGCAGGAAAGGGCAGTTAGGGGGGACCCAGGCCTGCAGGGGAGGGCAGTTAGGGTTGACCAGGTCTGCAGGGGAGGGAAGTTAAGGGCAAAAAGGCTGGCAGGGGAGCAGTTAGGCATCAATCAGGCTGGGAGGGAAGTGGTTAGGTAGGGGTGTCGAACTCAATCAGAGAAGGGGCCAAAATCTAAAATCCAGCCTAAATCGCGGGCCGAATGGTTTACTGAACAGTCATAAACTGTCATTGTGATGGAAACGCAGCGGAGTGCAGTGATGACAGCGCGGTGCGGGCCACATTGCAAGGCCTGGCGGGACGGATTTGGCCCGCGGGCCTTGTGTTTGACACATGTGGGTTAGAGGATGATCAGGCTGGCAGGCAGAAGCAGTTAGGGGCAACCAGGAAGGCAGGCTGGTGAGCAGTTGAGAGCCAGCAGTCCTGGATTGTGAGAGGGATGTCTGACTGCCCTTGAAGGACATCCCTTGAGGGGTCCCAGATTGGAGAGGGTGCAGGTTGGGCTGAGGGACACCTCCCTTCCCCCTTGCATGAATTTCATGTACTAGGCCTCTAGTCTTATATAATAAAGAGGTAACATGCAAATAGACTATCACTCCGACACACAAGATGGTTGCCCCCATGTGGTCAAAGATGACCACCCCCATGTGGACACATGATGGCCACCACAAAATGGCCAGCAAGGGAGGGAAGTTGTTGGGTGATCAGGCCTGCAGGGGAGGGCAGTTAGGGATGACCAAGTTGGCAGAGGAGGGCATTTGGGAGCAATCAGGCCTGCAGGGGGGTGGCATTTGTGGGGGTGGGGGTGGGGCCAGGTCTGTAGAGGAGGGCAGTTGGGGGTGACCAGTCCTGCAGGGGAGGGCAATTGGGGGAACCAGGCCAGCAGGGGAGGGTAGTTAGGGTTGACCAGGCCTGCAGGGGAGGACAGTTAGGGGCAACCAGGCTGACAGGGGAGGGGAGTGGGGGGATGACCAGGCCTGCAGGCGAGGGGAGTTGGGGAGTGACTGGGCCTGAAGGGGAGGGGAGTTGGAGGTGACTAGGCCAGCAGGGAAGGGCAGTTGGGGGCAATCGGGCTGGCAAGGGAGCAGTTAGATGTCCATCAGGCTGGCAGGGGAATGGTTAGGGGGTGATCAGGCTGGCAGGCATAAGCAATTAGGGGCAATCAGGCAGGCAGGTAGGCAAGCATTTGGGAACCAGCAGTCCTGGATTGTGAGAGGGATCCCTGATTCGAGAGGGCTGGGGTGAGGGACATTCTCTACCTGCCCTCCCATGCATGAATTTCATGCACTGGGCCTCTAGTTTTTATCATAAAAACGAGGTTGCTATTAGTCCACATTGGGTTAGATTCCACCTTATGAAAAGATGAGCATTGTTCACTATGAGACATGATAATAACTAAAGACCTGAGTTAATTCTCAAGCAGATTTGTACTCTAAGAATACAAAAAGGATTGTCAAAAAATGGAGAATCAAAGGATTAAACTGAGAATGAGGAAGGAGAGGGAGGGATTTGGAGACTATATTTGGTGTTGGTTCAACATTTCCCTGACCAGGAGGGAGAAATAGGCATGTTTATAGAAGATTGGTAAATATTTGTTGTGCTTTTGATGTCCTCTTCACAGTTTTGAGGAAGAACATGGACAATATTCATCAGACTAAAGCTGTCTCCCCTAAGAAGGAGAATCTTCCCTGTATTGCACCCCTACTAGCCACAGTGGAGGAGACTCCAGAGACTATTTCTGCCGAAGTCCAAGGACAATTCCCCAAGTGGCTCAATGGCTCTCTACTTCGAACTGGACCTGGGAAATTTGAGTTTGGGAAGGATGAGTAAGTCTTGATTTTTGGAATGATTTGGATTTCTTATTTATTTATTTATTTATTTATTTAATTTTATTTATTTATTTATTTAAAAAAATAAATCTTTATTGTTCATATTATTACAAATGTTCCTCTTCCCCCCCCCCCCCATTGCTCCCCTCCACCAGGTTCCCACCCCACCCTCTGCCCTTTCCCCACCCCCCATTGTCGTCATCCATAGGTGCACATTTTATGTTCAGTCTCTTCCCACATCCCCCTCTCCCCTTTCCCCTGAGAATCATTAGTTCACTCCCTTTCCATACCTCTGATTCTATTATATTCACCAGTTAATATTGTTCATAAGATTGTTTTTTAATTTCCTTGGTTTTTAGATTCACTTGTTGATAGTTACGTATTTGTTGTTCATAGTTTTTATCTTTATTTACTTTCTTTTCCGAAAGAACCCCCTTCAGCAATTCATATAATTCTGGTTTGGTGGTGATGATCTCCTTTAGCTTTTTTTTTTATTAGTGAAGCTCTTTATCTGGCCTCGATTCTGAGTGATAGCTTTGCTGGATAGATTATCTTTGGCTGTAGGTTCTTACTATTCATCACCTTGAATATTTCTTGCCATTCACGTCTGGCCTGCATGGTTTCTTTTGAGAAATTAGCTGACAATCGTATAGGTGCTCCTTTAGAGGTAACTACCTGCTTTTCTCTTGCTGCTTTTAATATTCTCTCTTTGTCTTTTGCTCTTGGAATTTTAATTATGATTTGTTTTGGTGTGGTCTTCTTTGGATTCCTTTTGTTTGGAGTTCTGTGTGTTTCCTGGACTTGTAAGTCTAATTCTTTCACCAGGTGGGGGAAGTTTTCTATCACTATTTCTTTCAGTATGTTTTCGATATCTTGCTCTCTCTCATCTTCTAGGACCCCCATAATTCTGATGTTGGTTCGCTTGAAGTTGTCCCATAGGTTTCTTATATTATCTTCAACTTTCTGGATTCTCTTGTCTTCTTGCTTCTGTGGAGGAGTGTCTTCTGGCTCTTTATGTTCCAAATCTTTGACTTGATTCTTGCGATCTTCCATTGTTTTTAGGACTCTGTACAATATGTTTTATTTCAGACAATGTATTCTTTATTTCTTGTTGATCCCTTAGTATTTCTTGTTGATTCCTTATTATTTCTAGTTGATCCCTTTTCATATCCTCATAGGACTTATCGATCTTTCCTAGGAAATTCTTGAAAAACCTTATAAGCGTGGTTTTGAACTTTATATCCAGATGCTTTTTGTCCTCCATTTTTTTTGTTTGTGATCTATTTCCTTGTCTAGGTATTTTTGCAGCTTCCCTGATGGGGCGGAGTTTCAGGGTGAAGCCTACAGCCTTGGCTTCCGTCAGCCACGTCAGCCACGCCCTATGCGGCTCCTGAGTCTCAGTGTTTCTCAGGGTCCTACCGTACTTGTTGCAAGCACCTCTGAGAGTGAGATGCCCTCGAGTTTTGCCTGCTACCAAACAGTCTAGTCTATCCCCCAATGAGCCCAGACTGGGGATCAGTTCAGTTGGAAGTGGGGTTCAGAGCAGGCTGGAGGTTTTGTCTCCTTCCTGCCAGGGCAATCCTGTGGCACAGTCAACGTCCCTTCTCTGTGCGCAATGTGCGCACCTCCAAGGGCTCTGCCTTTTGCCGCTCCCCCGGAGTTCCGCCTTACAGCCCAGTCTCCCTCTGTTTGAGCCTGGGTCCCTGAGATCTGGCCCAGAACTGGGGTTCAGCGCTGTCAGGTCTGGGGTTCAGCACAGTCCGGAGCTTTTATCTCCTTCCCGTTAGGGAACACCAGCCAGGTACTCAGCTTCCCCTTCCTCTCGGGCTCAGTCCTCTCTGCGCACGCCACGTGTCTCTGTACCTTAAGCTTTTACAGCTCCTCTGCTCTTCCTTCTGGTTTTCTCTTTACTTCTTGTTGTAGAATTTCCAGTCAGTTGACTTTCCTGTAGCTCTGGGCAATGTCCATTTTATTTAATTAATTAATTTATTTTTAAAAAGTATATTTTATTGATTTTTTCAGAGAGGAGGAGAGAGGGATAAAGAGCTAGAAACGTCGATGAGAGAGAAACATTGACCAGCTGCCTCTCCCACCCCCTACCGGGGATGTGCCCACAACCAATGTACATGCCCTTGACCAGAATCGAACCAGGGACTTTTCAGTCCTCAAACCGATGCTCTACCACTGAGCCAAACCGGTTTCGGCGGCAATGTCCATTTTATATTTTAGTTGTATTTTATTGAAATTGTTGTGTTTGGCTGCGGTTAGGTGTTTACCTGTGCAGCCATCTTTGATCCTCTAATTTGGATTTCTTAGCACGAACTTGTTTTATGGAATATGCATTTATATCTGCTTCCTCTCTGAGGCTAACATTGCTGTGCAATCTCTTTGGCTCCAGATGAGGAAACTAGCCTATAGGGAAAGAAATGGAGACTTATTTCTGTTTAAAATGCTGACACTTTTACTCAGTAGGTATAATGAATTGGAAGTTCTCTGAAGATTTATGCCAAAGGAGAAGTGTCAGAAACTGTTTCGAGCTCTACTCGCCACAAGTTCCTGAAGCAAGGGGCAGTGTCTTCACTCCAGAAGTGCCCTCACCCAGTGCCTCTCAGACACGTTGGCTCTTTCAGTTCCTCAAACCGGGCATGTTTATTTTTGCTCAGGGTCTTCGCTTTGGCTAAGTCATCTCTCTTCCAAAGTCTGATTCTTATCATTCAGATATTAGCTCAGATTTCATGTCGTTTGAGCCTTCCCTGATTCCCCAATCTAAAAATGCTGTTTTTATTTTATTTTATTATGTCTTATAACATAACAGGTATTTTAATTTTTTCCTTAGCACTATCAATGTTGTTTTTTGTTTATTTATTAGCTATGTTTCTCCACTAGAAAATAAGTTTCATGAGGGCAGAAACTTTTTCTTGTTCATCCCATATGTCCAATATCTAGGATAGTGCCCTGCACTTAAATAGCACTCAATAAATATATGTAAATAAATGGGGGGAAAAATACCCCAATAACTCTTTACTGTATCATTTCTCTATGTTGAGGAGCATCAAGTTCTCTACTCTTCTCAGTTTATCAGCTCTCCTTAACTTCTATCCAGTGCAGATTCCACAATCAGTCACTTCAAATGCACTCTCACCACCATCCTCACTTCCTGGTGATTGCTGTATTTTCTCTGACTAATTCCAGTCCTGGGTTAGCCCTTATTGGTTTCCTCCTCTCATCCCCAGGCCTGCTGCACACTTCCAGAGGAAATCACAGCCTTGCTGATTCAATGACACAATTATGATTTCCAGGCCTATTGAGTGCTTGGTGTTATCATTGTTCTTTCCATCTCCCACAGGGGTCCTTTCTGGAAGCCTCCTTTGTTCTCCTTGTTCCTTTCACTCTCAGCAGATAAACTTCCTACTTCATAAGGAATAAAGGGGCATTTATTTAGATTTTGGGCTCCTTCAACTTCCTTCTTACTCACCTCCACATTCCCTTGGTCTGTGCCTTGTTGTAGGTATGTATTCCTGCCTCCTCACAATCAGAGCAGGAAGTGGCCTCTTCCTCTCCTCTGGAACCTGGTTGCATCGTTCACACTCCTCCCCTTGTATCCATTTCTCCTTCACTAATCCCACACCTCTGCCAACAAGTGTCTGTCATCCTAAAACACCCTCATTCTCTACTCCCTTTCCTCGCCAGCTATCCTTTCTCCTCCTCTCACTGCTGGTTTTATATTCTCTGAGGTTTTCCCAGTTCACTGCCATCTGACTTTTAACCCCACCACTCTATGCATCTGTTCTCAAAGGTTATTAGAGCCCGGTAATTATTAAATGAAATGGGCTTCTTAGTCCTCAGCAGGACAGTAGTACAGCATTTGACCTAACTGACAACCTGTCTTAAAATTCTTTCATCCCTGGATTCCCATATTTCCTCTGCCTTCTGGTTACATATCCTAGGATCATTTTTTGTTGCTCATTTCACTTCACTTGTTTCTTTAATGTTGCTATATCCCATCCTTTGCACGGAATATTCACTTCTTTTCTCTCATTGTATGCTTTCTTCGGTATTGTAAAACTATCAATAAATTATTTGGAGTATTAGAGGCCCAGTGCACAGAATTCGTGTATGGTGGAGTTGTCCCTCAGCCCAGCCTGCACCCTCTCCAATCTGGGGCCCCTCGGACATCCTTTTCACAATCCAGGACTGCTGGCTCCTTACTGCTCACCTGCCTGCTTGCCTGCCTGCCCCTAACCGCTTCTGCCTGCCAGCCTGTTTGCTCCCTAACCACTCCCCTGCCAGCCTAATTGACGCCTAACTGCTTCTCTGCTGGCCCAATTGCCCCTAACTCCCCTCCCCTAATGTCCTGTTTGCTTCCAACTGCCCTCCCCTGCCAGCCATTCTGTGGTGGCCATCTTGTGATGACATGAGGGTGGCCATCTTCAGCAGCCATCTTATGATGATGTGGCATTAGGGTATGACGCCACCTAGGCTTTTATTATATAGGATTGTGCAGTGGCTTCAAATCCCATTTCACCAGTTATCAGTGCTATGATCTTGACCAAGGTTTCCCATATGGAAAAATGGGGATTAATATCAGCTTTAATGGCTGGGTATGAAGAGTAAAGGGGACAGGCATGTATAAAGGCTCTTTCAATAGCTGACAAAAATTGCCAGTTAGTACTTTTTTAATCTCTTCTTTTCCTTCTGTGTCGTCTCCTCACTGACCTTTCCTGCAAAATAACTTCTTGTAGTTCACTTGTAAGCCCAGGATTTGGAGTCAGCATTGAGTTCGGATTCTTGTTCTGACAGTTAGCAGCCTTGTGACCCTAGGGTTTTTGTTGTTTTGAACATGGGTTTCTGTGTGTGTGACATGAGAAAGATAGTTTCTCACAGGACTAATGTGTGTGTGTGTGTGTGTGTGTGTGTGTGTGAGAGAGAGAGAGAGAGAGAGAGAGAGAGAGAGAGAGAGAGAGAGAGAGAGAGAGAGAGAGAGAGAGAGAGAGAGAGAGAGAGAGAGAGAACATGAAAAGATGTGGTGAAGGCCTTAGCACAGTTCCTGGTGTGTAGTCAGTGCTCAGGAGATGGTAGTTGTTATGTCTCGCTCACACCTATGGCTGTACCTATCACACGTACATACTCTCCAACATGTACCTCCCACCTTGCTCCCATCTCTTGTGCTCTAGACAAGAGGTGGCCTTTTTATGTTTTACAAAGAGCTCAGACTATTATCCAAAACCAAACTATTGGGTATTTATTTTCCTCAGTACTTGCTCTTCCCGTATTCCCTTTCTCAGTTAATGGTCATCATCAGCCAGTCATTCAGGCGTGACTTTTTGGAGCCTCTCTTTTTGTCACTGCACACATCTTATCACCCCCTCTGATTTGTTTCTGGAATTGGTGCTTTTCTCACTTTGCTGCTTCGATTTAGGCTCTCATCTTCTTTCCTGTCCCTAGGATGCCCTTCTCTTCTTCGTGGCCTCACAGACATCCTTAACAAACTAGCCAAATATTTTGAGCCTTTTGATTCCTTCTGACCCCAACATCCTTCCATCTTGTTGTCCCTTCTGTGCACGGATAGCATTTTTAACATTTCCCCCGTTGTTGCAGCAATCATTTTGTGTCATAGTTATTTATGTACCTGTAAGCGCTGGGTTTGGCACAATTCCTGGCTGTTTCGGTTGATTTGAATAAATGAATGCATGAAAAGACAGGGTCTGTGGGGTTTTGGGAGATGGAATCTAAAAGGTTGAGCACTTTTAGAGGAAATCATTATTAAATGTAAGTAAGGATGAGGAAAACAAATTTTACAAGTACAAGGATGAAAGCAGAAGGTTTTAAAAATTACTTAGGAATTTTGGATGACAGCTCGATGTGGGTAAAAAATATGAGATTGTAACAAAGAAAACTAAGAAGGGAAGAAAAGAATATGAAATATCTTAAGTGAGAAACCTAAGTGTCTGGTTTTATACCCAAAATATTTTGAATTTGTTTCTACATATTGTGGTTTTAGAGGGAATTAGACCAGAATAGCAAGAATTATTGGAACTTTTGTTTTTAATGTTTTTGAAAAATATTGCCAAAATAGAAAAACTACTAGCTCACATGATAAAGAAAAAGGGAGAAAGCACAAATGCACAAAAATAAGAAATGACAATGAGAAAGAAACTGTTTAAACGGATTAAAAATTACAAGAGACTTTTCAGGCCTCTATGCAAATACATATGAAAATCTTGATGAAACAGCTAGTTTCCCAAGGGAATACAGATGATAAATATTGATAGAGATAGAAAATTCAAACCAATCAAGTTGTGTAGAGGAAAAAGAGCAACTCATTATGGAACTATTTCTCAAAAGAAAGCACCAGGCCCAGATTATTTCCCAGATATTAAATAATCCCAATGCTCCAAACATTACTTGAGAGAATTGAAAATGAAGGGAAACTGCCCATTTCTTTTTACGAAGCTAGGATAATTTTGATGTCTATACACTATAAAGATGGTGCGAAAAAGAAAACTATTGCCTGGTTGTTTCAGTGGTTGATCATCAACCTATGAACCAGGAGGTCACAGTTCGATTCCACATCAGGGCATATATTCAGGTTGGGACATGCAGGAGGCAGTGTGGGACATGCAGGAGGCAGCCAATCATTGATTCTATCTCATCCTTGATCTCATCTCTTTTTCCATCTTTGAAATCAATAAAAATACATTAAGAAAGAAAACCATTATTTATTCATATTTTTATAAATATCCTTGAAAAAGTACAAAATATATAGTGCTACCATAGTACTAGCAAGTATTTTATTAATAAACAGAATCTAACACTATACTAAAAATATAATCCACTAGGTAGGATTAATTCTAAGAATGCAAGATAGGTTCATTATTATCTCTTATTATCATAACCCATATTATTAGAAATCACTTAATATTATATGCCATATTAATAGGTTTCAGGAAAACTAATCATGGGATTATCTCCATAAATTCTGACAAAATTTTTGTCAAAACTCAACATCCATTCCTCATAACAATACTCAAGAAAATAGAACTTGATGAATACTTTAACTTATATCTATACACTCATATACTTACACATATTTTTATATATACATATGTTTATATAAGTATTGTGTATATGAATATTTATATTATAGGTATTTTTCTAAGGCAGGAACAAGGCAGGGATAGTCACTATCTTCACTGATATTCTATCAGATGTAACCAATACAATTAGACTAAAGAAATTGATTATAGGCACAAGGCTTAGTAAAATAAAACTATCTGTGTGGTTGATACCATGGTAAACCTGGAAAACTATAGAGAATGACTTACTCAAACAATGAAAGGTAAGGTAATAGGATGTAAAATTAACATACTGAAATCAAGAACTAATATACACAAACTGTAGCAAGTTAAGAGACATACTGGTAAGAAAAAAACCTCAAATACAATAGCAACAAAAAAATTAAATACTTAGAAATGAACTTAATAAGAAATGTGCAAATTAAAAGACTTCTAAAAGGCACAATTAAATGGAATGACATCTTCTGTCCTTGAATAGGATAATTCAACAACATAAAGATCTGAGTTCAGCTGAAGCCGGTTTGGCTCAGTGGATAGAGTGTCGGTCTGCGAACTGAAGGGTCTCAGGTTTGGTTCAAATCAAGGGCATGTACATTGGTTGCAGGCATGTCCCTGGTGGGGGGTGTGCAGGAAGCAGCTGGTTGATGTTTCTCTCTCATTGATGTTTCAATTTCAAGCTCTTTTTCCTCTCCCTTCCTCTCTGTGAAGAATCAATAAAATATATAAAAAAAGTTATGTTCTTCATAAATTAATTTTTTAAATTTGATATAATCTTAATAAAAATTACAACAGTTTTTTAAGGAAGTTAAACAAATTGATACTAAAGTTCATATGGAAAAATAAATATGCAAGAATATCAAGAAAACACTAACAAGAGAATTTTCAGTGGTGGAATTACCTCTCTCAGACATTAAAATATACTAATGATATAAAGCCTCTATAATTAGAACATTGTGATATTGGCATATGAATAGACAAATAGTGATTTGACCAGAAAGCTCAGACATAGATCCAAGAACTTATGAAAATGTAGTTTATGGTAAATATGGTATGTGAAATTATTGGGTAAAGAGGGCTTTACTTCCCTCTCTTTCTTTCTCATATCCTAATTTGTTTTTATTGTGGTAAACAACACATAACACAAAATTTGCCATCATAGCATTTTTAAGTGTACAGGCTAGTGTTAAATTTATTCACATTGTTGTGAAACAGATCTTCAAAACTTTTACATCTTGTAAAAATGGAAATTTCATATCCATTAAACAATAGCTGCCCCCAGCCCTTGGTACCTACCATTCTACTTTCTTTTTCTATGAATTTGACTACTTTAGATACCTCCTATAGCTCTTACCACACATTATTTGTCATTTTGTGACTGCCTTGTTGAATTTAGCATAATGTCCTCAAGTTTTATCCATGTTGTAACATGTAACAGAATTTTCTTCCTTTTACTTTTCTTTTTTCTTTTTCTTTTTTGGAGAATTTCCTTTCTTTTGCTTATTTCATTGTATGTAAACATTTTGCTTATCCATTCATTCATTGATGGTTATTTGGATTGCTTCCACCTTAAGGTTATTGTAAGTAATGATACTATAAACACTTTGAATCCCTGCTTTCAGGACCATTGCCATTTAAGACAATGATGTTTGCCTTGCTTATCCATGCTGAAGACATTAAGATTTCAAACTGTCAAGCATATGAAAGAAAAGACTATATGATATTAAATCCTCTTGAAAGCAAAACCACAAACTTTTCCTGAGGGCTTTTCAATCTTCCATCCTTAAAGTAGATAATTTTTAGTGTTTACTTTCGCGTAATTTTGATAAATTTGAAAAATTTTGAAGTAAATGGACAATGTAATGCATGTAAGATATGAAGATAAAGATTTCTAAAAGCATAGAAATCCATTTGAATTTGAGAGCTGTCAAGCATTCCATATCCTCTTATGCTCTTCTCTTGGCTATAAGGTATAAAACAAAGAACCTCCATGGCTGAAAGCTTTTTTAAACTAAAGGATTCATTGGACCATTGCTAGTGAGAATAATCAGGTGCTGGGGCATAAAGTCTGAACAACCAGCACAGCTAGTGGGAAAGACGAGTATGCCTGCTGTCCTGGTGTTGAAGGACTTTTATACATCAGGTAGAGGGGAGAAAGATGTGCATTGGAAAGAATTTACATTGGCTATAAATAAGGTGGGTTGGATAAGGTGAAGGAGGCTCAGTTCTGGGATAGATGCATTGCTGTTTGCTCCTCTGGGTTGGTTATAGAAAGTTCCTGTGTAAGCAAGAAGCAGAGGTTCCTCCAGTGGGTGATGCCTGGTAGTGTCTTTCAGATAATGATGGGAATAGCCACATAGAGGTTAATTCAAAGTTCCCACTTACACTCAGGAGTGAAAGCAGTCTTTTGTTGGTTGTGCCCTGAAGTTAACTGACTAACCCCTTCTTGCCTCTTCCTTCTACACTCTGGCTGCTCTAATTTAACCTAGAACATCTCAGAATTGTCTCCTTGTCAAAGGTAAAGATTAGAATTATTTTAGGAGGCACCAGTTTAGGGTTTTCTTCAGCCTTCTGAAGTATGAGGTTTTTGACAAGGGGTAAGGGTCAGAAGGGTTAGTGCTCTGTCCTGTTGTACTCCAGGATGTACTCAATCTATCATCCTTTAATTTCAGGTTCTCTGACTAATCAGGCGGTGCTGGGAACCCATCCCATTTCATTATCTCTATATTTGAAATCTCTCATTTTGACCCCATGTGTTTTTCTATTTCTGCTCCTATTTGAAGGTACAATCACTGGTTTGATGGGATGGCGTTGCTTCACCAATTTAGGATGGAGAAGGGCACTGTCACATATAGGAGCAAGTTTCTGCAGAGTGACACGTACAAGGCCAATAGTGTGCAGAACCGAATTGTGATCTCAGAATTTGGCACCCTGGCTCTCCCTGATCCATGCAGGAATGTTTTTGAATGTTTCATGTCCAAGTTTGAGCTACCTGGTAAGCAGCTATTACTTGGCCCAGAATTTGCAGGTAATAATAATGACTATTTAAATTGTTATGCTATATGAAGTCTATATAAAGTTTGAAATAGATTTTTCAGTATGAGAGAATGTTTAAGCTGCTTTCTCCCTCCTCTTGTGGTGCTTCAATAACTCTGGGTTTTGTTTCAGCAATGACTGACAACACCAGTGTCAACTATGTGTGGTACAAGGGTGATTACTACCTTAGCTCTGAGAACAACTTTATGAATAAAGTGGACATTGAAACCCTGGAAAAAACAGAAAAGGTAAAATGTAGGTTAAAAAAAATGAATAAAACAGACCCCCGAATTTCTTTTCATTCAGAATACTTTTCAGTGTAGTAGCTATCTGATTAAGAAATAGGATCCTTAGCCAAACATAACCATATTACCCTCTGTGCACTCTCTGTCCTGATTAGAATGACCTTGGATCGGTTTTCCATACTTCTAGACTTCTTTCTTAGTCCCAACATCTGCAGAGTAGGGTAAGGGAGAAACAGAATAACATTTATGTCCTCACTGGTTTGTCTCAGTGGATAAAGTGTTGGCCTGCCCACTGAAGGGTCCCAGGTTTGATTCCAGTTAAGGGCGCATACTTGGGTTGCAGGCTCCATCCCCAGTAGGGGGCATGCAGGAGGCAGCCAATCAGTGATTATCTCTCATCATTGCTGTTTCTTTCTCTCTCTCTCTCTCTCTCTCCCTGCCTCTTTGAATTTAAATACTTGTAACAAAACAACAACAAAAAATTTTGAAAACAAAACAAAAAACATTTACTGTGGTCAGCTCATGTTTTTCCTAGCTACAGGTAGAATTGGACTGGAAATTGTCTAGACCCATACTACTTTCACTTAACACATTAATTAAAAGTTAAATAAAAATTTGGACCAGATTTTTAATTTTTTTTTTTAATTAAGAGAAAGCTTATTTAGAAAGTCACAGGGTAGTAGCAGGGAGCCAGTTGGGCTGTATAGGCTCAGGAAAGAAGTTACAGAGATAGAAGAAGGGCCCTTGGAATTTAGGAGAGAGAAAGGCAAAGGTAACTGTGCCTGGGGGAAGACAAAAGGGAAGGGAAAAGGGGTAGGGCTGTGTGTGTGTGTGTGTGTGTGTGTGTGTGTGTGTGTGAGAGAGAGAGAGAGAGAGAGAGAGAGAGAGAGAGAGAGAGAGAGAAGCCAGAATTTACATTTTTTTCAATATATTTTATTGATTTTTTACAGAGAGGAAGAGAGAGGGGTAGAGAGTTAGAAACATTGATGAGAGAGGAACATCTATCAGCTGCCTCCTGCACACCCCCAACTGGGGATGTACCCAAAACCAAGGTACATGCCTTTGACCAGAATCAAAGCTGGGACCCTCCAGTACACAGGCTGACGCTCTATCCACTGAGCCAAACTGGTTATGGCCAGAATTTTAATTTAATTTATTGATTATGGTATCACATAATTGTCCTCATCCCCCCATTCCCATCCCAAACCAGAATTTTAATTTTAATTATTACTCTTTTGAGCTTTCTGTGATCTTGGGGGGGGGGGGGAATTTACCCTTATTGTATAATAATTTTTGTACACTTTTAAACAGAAAGAAGACCAAAAGAGGCCAACTCTCTCTCTCTCTCTTTTAATATATTTTATTGATTTTTTACAGAGAGGAGGGGGGAAGGATAGAGAGTTAGAAACATTGATGAGAGAGAAATATCAATCAGCTGCCTCCTGCACACCTCCGATTGGGGATGTGCCTGCAATCAAGGTTCATGCCCTTGACTGGAATTGAATCTGAGACCCTTTAATCCTCAGGCCTAAGTTTATCCTCTGAGCCAAACCGGTTAGGGCTGTACATTTTTTATTCGTCGGTGGTGGGTTTTTGTTTTTATTTGGGAGAAGTTCATTTATTTTTCTTTAGAAGGAAAAATGATTTTGATTTCTCAGAGGTGAGATATTAGGGCTTAGGCTGTAGTTTTCATATCTTATTTTAAAGAATAGGTGTATAAAATTCATGCACAGGGCTGTGTGTCCCTCAGCCAGTCTGCACCCTTACCAATCTGGGATCCCTCGAGGGATGTCCGACTGCCCGATCCTCTCACAATCCAGGACTGCTGGTTTCCAACTGCTGCCTGCCTGCCTTCCTGATTGCCCCTAACCATTTCTGCCTGCCGGCCTGATCACCCCCTAACCACTCCTCTGACAGCCTGATTGATGCCTAACTGGTCCTCTGTTTGCCCCTAACTGCCCTCCCCTGCAGGCCTGGGTCCCCCATAATGGCCCTTCCTTGCAGGCTTGGTCACTCCCAACTTCCCTTCTCTGCCAGCCTGGTCACCCCTAACTACCCTCCCCTGCAGGCTGGTTCCTCCCAACTGCCCTCTCCTGCTGGCTATCTTGTGGTGGTTATCTTGTATCCTCATCGGGGCAGCCATCTTTGACACATGGGGGCAGCCATCTCGTGTGTTGGAATGATGGCCAATTTGCATATTACTTTTTTATTAGATAGGATATTTGACACATCTCTACCGTTTATGCATCTAAATAGAGACCTGCTCATGTAACGTTTAAAAGTCTCTGATGGTCTTCAATTTGCAGGTGGACTGGAGCAAATTCATTGCTGTGAATGGAGCAACTGCACATCCTCATTATGACCCAGATGGAACTGCATACAACATGGGGAACTCCTATGGGCCATATGGTAAAGTAGGATGGAAGTATCTAAGGAGGGGAAGTAGCTGTAGTGCCTGAAGCTGACTTCTAGGATGCCAGCAGCACTGTCAGGATTGTGCTGGTGGGACCTGGTTCACTGGTGCCCGGTCTATTCTCCAGAGATTGGACCTGTAGGACTACTGAGGGAGTGAGTGGCTGCTGCTGGACTGGTGGGCCACAGGGACAGGTCAGACATCTGAGTGGTGCTCCCACTGTGACAGTGCGCTAACCACCAGGGGTAGCATCTGCATTGAGTGTCTGACCTATGGTGGTCAGTGCGCATCATAGTGACTGGTTGTTCTGGTCATTCTGATTGTTCAGTCATTTGGTTGCTTAGGCTTATATATTTATGTAGATTGCTTACTCACTGTTTTTGCTAGATGTCTATTAGGCATTATAAAATTAACTTGTCTAAAACCAAACCTCTGATCTTTTCCTCAAAACTTTTCTGCTTAAAATATTTCCCACCACCCTGGCTGGTGTGGCTCAGTTAATTGAGTGTTGTCTTATGCACCAAAAGATTGCTGGTTCCATTCCCCATTAAGGCACATACATAGCTAGGTTGCAGGCTCGATGCCTGGTAGAGGGCATGCAAGAGGCAGCCAGGGGATTGATGCTTAACTTTGCATCTCTCTCCCTTTCCTTCCTCTCTCTCTTTAAAAAAAATCAATACAACAAATTCCTAACTCAGTTGATGGTAACTCCACCTTTCCAGTTGCTTAGGATGATAACTTTGGAATCATTCTTCACACCTGTGTCTCTCACATCACCATCTACTAGGTCAAAAAATTATTTCAGCAATGCCTTCAAAATATATCCCAAATCTGCCCGGCCAGAATGGCTCAATGGTTGAGCATCAGCCTATGAACCAGGAGGTCATGGCTTGATTCCTGATCAGGGCACATGCCTGAGTTGCAGGCTCAATCTCCAGTGTGGAGTGTGGAGGAGGCAGCCCATCAATGATTCTCTCTCTCATCATTGATGTTTCTATTTCTATATCCCTCTCCCTTTCTCTCTGAAATCTATAAAAAATATTTATATATCCCAAATCCAACCACCTCATATCAGCTCCACTTTCACAACTTTGGTCTGAGCAACCACTCTCTCATTTGAATTATTATAATAGTTTCTCCTTGGTTCTGCCCTTACCCCATTTAAGTTTATTCTGAGCATATCAGACAGGTTTTTTTTTTTTTTTTTTTTTACTATTAAAAATTTATTTTTAATCCTCACTGTAGAATATGTTTTTATTGTTTTTAGAGAGCGAGCAAGAGAGAGGGAGAGATGATAGATAGATAGATAGATAGATAGATAGATAGAGACATTGATCAGCAGCCCTCATCCTTGAACGCAGGGATTGGTACCAATCACCCTTTGGTGCCTGGGACAACTCTCTAGCCAATTAAGATACCTGACCAGAGCCAGACAGTTATTTTATTTATTTATTTATTTTAACTCACTCCACCTCATTTAGACTATTCTTGCTCACTTTGACAGGCCACACTGGTCTACTTGCTGTTATGTACTTGAATACTGTAAACTAACTCTTGGTTGAGATTCTTTGCATTTGTTCTTCTCTACTCTTGGAATGCATTTCTCCAGGATATCACCAAGACTCTCTTCCTCACCTGCTTCAGATCTTTATTCAAATGTAATTTTCTTACTGAAGCCTTCCCAGACTACCATATTTAAAAATTTAAATAATAGCATCATCCTTATACATTTACTCTGGAACCCCATTTTCTGGTTTACTTTCCAATACAATTCTTATCATCATCTGAAGCATTATGTTTTTACTTATTGTATGATTTATTAGAATTTGAACTTTATAAAAGAAGACTTTTTTTTGTCTATTTTGTACAAGCATCTAAAATAGGGTATTTATGACATGTAGAAGAGTGCCTGGAATATATCTGGCATTCAACAAGTACTTGTTGAATAAATTAAGAGAGAGCTATATGGCTATTTTGTTCCAAAATAAGTTTAGTGGTTGCAAGAAACTACAGGTTACCCAAGTTTTTCAAGACCTACATTGGCAATTCCAATATTACCAGGAAGATCATTTAGTATGACCTCAATATTTGTTCATTCATTGAATGATTTAACAAACATGTTGTTAGTCAATCCATTAATAGCTATTTATAGTGTACTTACTAAATGTATATCCTTGTTTGGTACGGAGGATACAAAGGTGAAGGAGATAAATCTGCTCTTGAAAAGCTCTAGTTGTTCATCTGCTTATCCCAGTAGAAGCAGATAAGCAAGTAGATAATTATAATACCATGAGATAAGTGCTATGACTATATAAGACACATGTGTCAAACACAAGGCCTGCGGGCCAAATCCGTCCCGCCAGGCCTTGCAATGTGGCCCGCACCGCGATGTCATCACTGCACTCCGCTGCGTTTCCATCACAATGACAGTTTATGACTGTTCAGTAAACCATTAGGCCCTCGATTTAGGCTGGATTTTAGATTTTGGCCCCTTCTCTGATTGAGTTCGACACCCCTAATATAAGAGATAATGAGGACATAGAGGCGGGCCACCAAATGACATGGGGTGGAGAAGACTCAGGGAAGGCTTCTTGAGTGGATGGATACCTAAGTTGATTCTTGAAGAAGCAATAATGGTCAGGCAAATGACTGACTGAATGAATGTTGATGAGATGGGATGAGATGGGGCCTAAAGCAGATCCAAGGATCCAGAGACCTGGGAGGAAGGATTTGGACATGGATGCAAATAGAGATTGTAGTTGCTGGGTTTGGGTAGTAGGGAGAGGAACAAATAGAATTTGAGGGTATTCCTGTCTGCTAACCTTATTTTTTTCCTATGACGTAGAAATTGGGTTCATTTTCAGGGTGTGTGAGGATAACCATTTGAGAATATTACAATAAAATAAACTTGGTGGATTATTTTGGGTGTGGTGTTTGAAAATCTTAGCTAATGACTCTCATAAAGTTCATATATATATTTTAAAATATATTTTATTTATTTTTTATAGAGAGAAAGGGAGAAGGATAGAGAGATAGAAATATCGATGAGAGAAAAACATCTATCAACTGCCTCCTGCACACCCCCTACTGGGGATATGCTCGCAACCAAGGTACATGCCCTTGACCAGAATCGAACCTGGGACCTTTCAGTCCTCAGGCTAACACTCTATCCACTGAGCCAAACCGGTTTCGGCAAGTTCATATATTTTTGATATCTAAGTCTGTTTGAAATAACCCTTCATGAAATATGGGTATCATGCACATTGCATAAATCTCTTAACTGCTTTTGCCTAGTCCAGTGGTCGGCAAATTCATTAGTTAACAGAGCCAAATATCAACGGTACAACGATTGAAATTTCTTTTGAGAGCGAAATTTTTAAAACTTAAACTTCTTCTAATGCCACTTCTTCAAAATAGACTCACTCAGGCTGTGATGTTTTATGGAAGAGCCACACTCAAGGGGCCAAAGAGCCACATGTGGCTCACAAGCCGCAGTTTGCCAACCATGGGCCTAGTGCATAGGTACAAGGGTTATCTTTTATTCTTAGGATGTATGTAAAATTGTTAAGACAGAATTTTCCATTTTCCAGGTTCTTGCTATAATATTATTCGGGTTCCTCCAGAAAAGGTGGATGTTGGGGATACAATCCATGGAGCCCAGGTGATATGTTCGATTGCTTCTACAGAGCGTCTTAAACCTTCTTATTACCATAGTTTTGGTGAGTGCAGAGATGAAGCAAATTGCAATGGGGCTTGCTTTAGTGTCACAGTAGCAGAGGCAAATACTATGCTAATACTGTTTATCAGAGTATGGTAACATTTTGGGTCAAGGTTGCATTTTAATGCCACTTAAGTTTATTCTGGTTAGTAATATACTTCTTTCCTTAGCCAACTGACTACTTGAAAGGATAGTTATTTTAGTACAAGTAATCACTAAAAAATTAATTGACAAAATCAAGAGTGAACCATAATATAAACGATGGACTTTGAGTGATTATGATGAATCAATGTGGGTTCATCTATAATAATAATAGTGTAATATGCTAATTTGTTTGGACATCCTTCTGACAACCTTCCGGACAAAGCAGGGGCTTCGAGGGAAGCCTGGGTCCTGGAGGGAAGCCAGTGCCAGCAGCCGGGGAAAGGAAGGCCTACTCTTGTACGAATTTTGTGCATTGAGTCCCTAGTCAATTATAAGAAACTAGGTGCCTGATGCATGAAGATTCGTGCAGGAATGGGCCTTCCTTCCCCTGGCTGCTGGCATTGCCTTTGCTCCAGCCGGAACTACCTTTCTGCCTTTGCTTTGGCCCAGAGCTGTCTTTCTGGCTTCCCACACTGCCCAGAGGCCTAGAGCAGCTGAGGTGGTGTGGAATACCTGCATCATTGCTGGGTTAATTTATATACACTTGGTGCCTGCATGTGCAAATTAACCCACCATATTTGTTGGGTTAATTTGCTTACTCACCCCTGATTGGCTGGTGGGCATCGCGAAGGTGCAGACAATTTGCATCTTTCTCTTTTATTAGTGTAGATGTACTACTCTGGTGGAGGATGTTAATAATGCAGAGCTTATGCCTGTGGGGGGGTAGGGGGAGGCAAGAGGTATATGGGAAATCTCTGTACTTTCCCCTCAGTTTTATTGTGAACCTAAAATTGTTCTAAAAAGTTGAAGTCTTAATTTAAAAAATCATTTGAACATAAAAAATTAATTGACAGGATTCAAAATTTTAGGTAACTTTAAAGACCACAAATAAAGATCTTGATTATATATTTTTTGGGAAATTCATATTCTATATAGATTGCTTTAGCTTTTTCTCAGAATATTTTTCTTTTGTATTCTAAATCTTTATAGACAATCTGCTCCTGGGTCTTTACCCCTGGTATAAATAACAAGAGGATTATGGAATAAAGGTTCAGATCATAAATCACATTTTCATATTATATTTCTTTACTTGTCCCTAAACTACAACAGTTTTAAAAGAAAGAAAAAAAGATAAAAAGTGACTATAGTGCACTCAACCTATCATAAGCAGTTCCCTTTTTAAAGTAGGAACGGGAAATCTGTATAACAAAGCTGGGAAACAGTGAAGAATTACTTTTGGCCGGCCTTTGTCTGGGTCAGCAGTCATGTGGGCCAGCATTCAAACATGTTCCCTAAACTGTCACATTTCAGACAACTCTAATTTACCAAATAACACTTTAATGTTTGCTGGAACCTTTCAGGAATGACAAAGAACTACATAATCTTCATTGAACAACCTCTAAAAATCAATCTATGGAAAATGATCACTTCTAAAATCCGGGGAAAGGCCCTCTCAGACGGAATCAGCTGGGAGCCCCAGTCTAACACACGGTTTCATGTGGTGAATAAGCACACTGGACAGGTGGAGTATTTTGAGTGTATTTATTCATGAAAATGATTGGAAACAAAGGCACATTTCCATTTGGTTGATTTTTACTCTCACAGGGCATTACTTGCATGACTCTTAATCAAGGACAGTACCTTCTTTCATAGGTATGACTAACTACTTATTAATTAACACAGGGAATTTATTAGGTCTAGTAATAATTAATGTCGTTTTCTAATACTTTTTAAAATTGAATTTATTTAAACAATACAACAAAATTTAATCAACAATATAGTTGCCGTTGTTTTCTACTACTTGTGCCCAATGCTCAGGAAGCATTTTAATCCCTCTGTTGTAAAATTCTTGTGATTTTGATGCAAAAAATTCGGTCAATGCATTTTTGAGGCATTCTTCATTATTAAATTTTTTTCCAAGAAGAAAGTTTTGCAAAGAACGAAACAAATGGTAATCGGAAGGGGCAATAGCAGGAGAATATGCAGGTTGAGGGAGAACTTCCCATTCCAACTGGCGCAGTTTTTCAGCAGTGATTCTTGCAGTATGCGGTCGTGCGTTATCGTGGTGAAGAATTACGCCCTTCTGATTAATCAGCGCGGGTTCTTTTTCTCTTAAAGCTTGGGCTAACCTTTCCAATTGGGCACTATACACTGCACTTGTAATGGTTTGGTTAGATGGTAAAAGTTCATAATGAAGAATTCCTTTAAAATTCCACCAAACACACAACATCACTTTTTTCCCATGCAAGTCAGGTTTTGGCATGGGCTGCGGAGCCTCATTTTTGTCCAACCATTGAGGCCACCTTTTCAAATTAACATACAGCACCCATTCTTCATCTCCGGTAACAATTTGCTCTAAAAACGGCAAACGGTTTTGACGAGAGAGGAGCGAACTGCAAATTGTGACTCTTTGATTACGGTTGTTGTCGGTCAACTCATGAGGAACCCATTTTCCAAACTTTTGGACTTTGCCAAGTGCACGCAATTGATTGGAAATTGTTTTTTGTGAACAATTTAAAGTTGTCGCAAGCTCTTGTTGGGTAATTTGAGGATTTTGCACCAAAAGAGCTTGAAGAGCTTCTTGATCAAAATTGGACACACGGCCTCGACCACTCTTGTCATCTAACGAAAAATTTCCCTCATGAAATTTCTCAAACCAACGCTGGTATTTTCTGGCGCTAACTGCATCTTGACCAAGAGCACTACAGATGTTTTTTGCAGCCTCACTTGCTTTTCTTCCTAATTGGAACTCATAAAGCATGCAGTGCCGATTATGCTCTTCATCCGCCATCTTCTTAGCCCTAGTTTTGCAACAAAAACCAAACCAAACACAAACTTTTTCAAGCAAAACTTGTTAATTGCACTTCACACGTTCTGTAGATACCACGTGTTTGAAGGTTATGTCAATACAAGTCAACGCCAAGCAAGATTTTAAACGAATGTTTTAAAACGACATTAATTATTACTAGACCTGATAGTATATTAGAACATTGTAGGAAATGGCTTTATCCTTTAAATTATCTGATTTAATTAAAATGGCATCTAAATAGATCAACCGAAGGACTTGTATACATGCATATAAGTACAACCAATGGACATAAAACTATGGGGAGGGAGGGGATATGGGGGAGGGAGGGAGGGGGGCAAAAAAAAATCATTAAAATATGTAAAAAAAAAAAATAAAATAAAAAAATAAAATAAAATAAAAAATAAAATGGCATCTAGAAACCCTCTTAGCATGGACTTTTCCATATCATAATATTTGCAAAAGAAGATGTTGTTCATGCAAAGGTCTTCTGCACATTGGTTAAATATCTTTCTATTAATAGCACTATTATGTCTGTTTATTTTCTCCCTCTCTAAAGAGATAGTATTCTAAATTTACTGTATTGTCATTTTATTAAAAAATGTTAATAGTGAGTACATTTTTGAAGAATTAATCACTTAAATTTATCATATCACTTAATAGCAGTGCTTTTTTTGTTTCCATGTATTTTTTAAAAATTCTTTATTTCTTTAATTCTTTAAAGTATTACATATAGTAAGTATTACATATGTCTCCATTTTCCCCCCATTTGACCTCACTCTGGCCGCCCACACCCCCACACATGCCCTCACCTAGTAATGTTTTTTAAAAAAGATATTCTTATTGATTTTTAGAGAGAGAGGAAGGAAGAGGAAGAGAGAGAGAAACATTGATAGAGCAGAATATTTGGCTGCCTCCTGCCTGCTCCCTACCTGGGAATTGAAACTGCAATTTAGTCATGTGTCTTGACTGGGAATCAAACCGGAAACCTTTTGGTGCACGGGTAATGACCAGACAACTGAGCCACACCAGCCAGGGCAGCAGTGTTTTCTATTTAACCATGTAGAGTTCAGGAATTATCTATCCTTCAAAACACTGGAGTTAGTTGTAACAGTCAGTTGGTCTGTATTAAACAGCCCCAGTTTGTTAGTTAATATGAAGTGAGATGGCTTAAGCAAGCAATGGTTAAATCAAAGCATATTTACTTCTACATTTCAAATCTTACCTTTTGCACCTACATGCCCTGCCACATAACAGGGGGAAGTCTTAATTCGAGCTCGTTGTACCTGTTCCCTAAAGAAAAAAGAAAAGAAGGGAGCCGTGGGCTTCAGTGCAGAGATGGCCAAGTCCAAGAACCACACCACTCACCAGTCCCAAAACGGCCCAGAAAGGGCATCAGGAAACACTGGTCACAAGGATACGAATCTCTTAAGGGTAGAACATGTGCTTTGCCAAGAAGCACAAGAAGGGCCTGAAGAAGATGCAGGCCAACAACGCCAAGGCCGTGAATGCCCGCGCTGAGGCCATCAAAGCCTTGGTCAAGCCCAGGGAGCCCAGGACCAATATCCCAAAGGGCTGCAGCCACAAACTCAGTCGACTTGCCTACATTGCTCACCCCAAACTTGGGGAACGTGCTCATGCTGCATTGCCAAGGGACTCAGGCTCTGCCGGCCAAAGGCCAAGGCCAAGGCGGAAACCAAGCCCCAGGCTGCGGGTGCGGCCGTAGGTCAGGCTCCCTCTCCCAAAGGTGCCCAGGCCCCCACAAAGGCTTCACAGTAGAGGCCTCTGTCTGCCCATGTGAGGACAGAAGGACCACTGGGGCCCCTGGGCTGCTGTCTGCGTGGCACTGGTGCCCTCCTGTGCTGTTTGTACAAATAAACCTGTGGCAGGAAAGAAAAGAAAAGAGAAGAGGAAAAAAAAAGTCTCTTTTTCATTGTTTGTATTTCTCCTGCAGCTTCTTCCAGGGATGTACTTCACTAAGCCGTTTGTTATGTTTCATCAAATCAATGCTTTTGAGGACCAGGGCTGTGTTGTAATTGATTTGTGCTGTCAAGATAATGGAAGAAGCTTAGAACTTTACCAACTACAGAATCTTAGGAAAGCTGGGGAAGAGCTTGATCAGGTAAACATCTTTGATTTGCAGGTGTCATCAAAATAATTTTGAACTAGCCAAGTCCTGGTTTTGGCTATGTAACCTTAGAAATAGCTGTTCTCTTGTCTCATTGGCAATATGGAGGGAGAATGGTTTTAAAGACACAGTTTTGTCGCTTATTCATTTAACACTTGTAAATAATTTGAAGTACATACTTAATACATGATAGAAAGCACGTCAAAGAAAACCAAGAGATGTTTTGAGGGTGTGATTAGTTGCTTATTACACTTGACCACTGAACATGTTTAATTTACTAGAAGGGACAGCAAAATGGACGTAACTTTAATTCTCTGATAAAAGTGTACCAGTTCATCTACCTGAAGGATTTCATTTTTTTTCCTGATATTGAATTCAGTGTAAGATTTTTTCCTGTGGTATGTATTACAAATTATTTTTAGCTAGAGTTTTATTTGGAAATCATTTAAAGACATTGGTTTTAAGATTTATTTATACTTACTAATCTTATTTATGTCATTATAGCTGTATAATAGGTCTTGATATCTGTAGTACAGCCTGCTAACTCTTTTCTTTTTTACAAGGGTGCCTAAGTTTTTCTTGGCCTTTTGCATTTCCATAAATTCAATATATCAGTCTTTTACTTTGAGAATAAAACATTGTGTAACCTATTTCAGACATCTTCTTATGCCAAAGTCATAAAAATATTCTTTTACATTTCTTTGCAAAAGAAGTTTTAATTCTAAAAATTAAGTATCCGTATATGTGTTATTGTTCTGGACTCTATATTCAATTATGTGTTATTGTTCTGGACTTTATACTTTAGTTAGTTGCTTCTATAATTCCTTAATATGAAAATATGATAATCCTACTAAAATCCAAGGCACATTGGTTAAATATCTTTCTACTAATAGCACTATTATATCTGTTTATTTTCCCCCTCTCTAAAGAGATAGTATTCAAATTTACTGTAGAATAGTAAATCTAAATAGAATAGAATAGATTTCTTTATTCTATTATAGTATAATTTATACTTTATAGTATAATTTCAGCATCCTTTTTAAAAAATATATTTTATTGATTTTTTACAGAGAGGAAGAGAGAGGGACAGAGTTAGAAACATCAATGAGAGAGAATCATCAATCAGTTGCCTCTAGCACACCCACTACTGGGGAATGTGCCTGCAACCAAGGTACATGCCCTTGACCGGAATCGAACCTGGGACCTTTCAGTCTGCAGGCCAATGCTCTATCCACTGAGCCAAACCGGGTTTGGCTAATTTCAGCATCCTTAAAAGACCATATTCCACCTATTCTTTTTTCAATTTTAAATTCTTTAAAGTATTATATATAGTATAACATATGTCTTCTTTTATTCCCATTGACCTCTCACCAGCTACCCCCACCCCTCAGCACATGCCCTCATCCCCCTAGAGTCTGTATTCATTGGTTATGCTTATATGTATGCATACAAGTCCTTTGGTTGATCTCTCACCCTCTTTGCCTTCCCTGCTCTCAATCCTCTGCTTTCCCTCTTCAGTTTGATAGTTTGTTCAATACTTCTATGTCTCTGGATCTATTTAAAAAAAAATATATTTTGTTGATTTTTTTACAGAGAGGAAGAGACAGGGATAGAGAGTTAGAGACATCGATGAGAGAGAAACATCGATCAGCTGCCTCCTGCACACCCCCTACTGGGGATATGCCCACAATCAAGGTACATGCCCTTGACAAGAATCGAACCTAGAACCTTTCAGTCCACAGGCCGAAACTCTATCCACTGAGCCAAATCGGTTTCGGCTGGATCTATTTTTGTTCATCAATTTATGTTGTTCAGTATATTCCAAAAATGAGTGAGATCGTGTGATACTTACCTTTCTCCAACTGACTTATTTCGCTGTAGCATAATGCCCTCCAGATCCATCCATGTTGATGTAAATGGTAAGAGTTCTTTCTTTTTTATAGCAGCATAGTCTTCCATTGTGTAGATGTACTACCGTTTTTTAATCTCATTTGCTGATGGACACTTAGGGTGTTTACAATAATTAAGATGTATTGTAAATTGTGCTTCTATGAACATAGGAGTGCACATATTCTTTCTGATTGGTGTGTCTGATTTCTTGGGAAAAATTCCTAGAAGTGGGATTACTGGGTCAAATGGGAATTCAATTTTAATTTTTGGGGGAAACCCTATACTGTTTTCCAAAGTAGCTGTACCAGTGTGCATTCCCACCAGCAGTGTACGAGGGTTCCTTTTTCTCCACATCCTTGCTAGCACTTGTCATTTGTTGATTTGTGATGACAGCCATTCTGACTGGTGTGAGATGCTACCACATTGTCATTTTGACTTGCATTTTTCGGATGGTGACTTTGAGAATTTTTTCATATGTCTCTTGGCCTTCTGTATGTCCACTTTTGAAAAGTGTCTATTTGACATTTTCTCCATTTTAAAATAGATTTTTATTGATTTCAAAGAGGAAGAGAGAGGGAGAGAGAGATAGAAACATTAATGATGAGAGAGAAGCGTTGATCGTGTGCCTCCTGCTCACTGCACATGGGGGATTGAGCCCACAACTCAGGCATGTGCCCTGACTAGGAATTTAACCTCCTGGTTCATAGGTTGATGCTCAACCACTGAGCCACGCAGGCGGGGCTCTTATGTCCATTTTTTTTTATTAGATTGTTTATTTTACTTTTATTAAGTTGTATGAGTTTCCTATAAATTTTGGAGATTAAACACTTATTGGATCTAACATTGGCAGATATGTTCTCCCATGCAGTGGGCTCTCTTGTTTAGTTGATGGGTTTCTTTTGCTATGCATAAGCCTTTTATTTTTATCTAGTCCCATTTGTTTTTCTCCTTAGTTTCTATTGTCCTAGGACAATAAATTGGATCTTTTTTCTTTTTTACTCTTCTGACTGAATGCTTTTTGCTTCCTCATATTCCAAATATTGATTTGATCCTCAGAGTTCTTAGGTCTACAGTTGAACCCCTGTAAATTGTTCTTTATTTCAATTAGTGTATGTTTAATTCCTGACTGGTCCTTTTCATGTCTTTGACATTCTCACTAAGAACCTTGAAAGTCTCATCAAGATTCTTGAGTAACCTTATAAGCATAGTTTTGAACTCTGTATCCTATAGTTTGCTTTCTTCTATTTCTTTCATTTGTGACATGTTTTTTTGTCTCCCCATTTTGGCTGCTTCCCTGTGTTTGTTTCTATATATTAGGTAGAGCTACTATGTCTCCTGGAGTTGGTAGACTGGCCTTGTGTAGTCGGTGTCCTGTTGGGGCCAGTGACTAAGCCTTGCCAGTCACCTGAACTAGGAAATCTAGGTGTGTCCCTGTGTGGGCTGTGTGCACAGTCTTTTAGTTAAGTGTTGATTGCTATTGGTATCTCTTGGAGGAGTTGACCTCCAGGCCAGTTACGTGAGGAGCAGCTGCAATTACCGTGGGAGAGCTGCTATGCAGGAGGTGAGGCCAACTGTGAAGTAGGGCAGGCCTCTAGTGAGGATCTTGGGCCTTTTCTGATAGGTTTGGGGCATGTTGACACCAGCTGCAGCTTGTTTGAGAGATTTAGCAAAGTCTGAAGCCTGAACCAGGACAGGCCATTTATATGGAAAAGCCACCTCAAACAGCTTGGGTGGTGCTGCAAATTGGATGGAAAGGGGTCTCAGGGAATCCCCAGAATGGAATAAACAATGTGGGCTGGCCATCTTGTGGTGGCCGTCTTCTGACCACATGTAGGAGCCCATCTTGTGTGAGGGCATGATGGTCAATTTGAATATTACCTCTTTTTTATATAGGATAATATTTACAATGTTAACTATTCCAGATATGGCTGTCAGTCAGCCCTGTGACAAGGGAAGTCCCAGCACAGGAACAATGACCCTTACTAGCATCCCTGCCTAGAAGAAAGCTGCCACCAAGATCCTGCCCAATGCCAGGTAGCCCACTTTCTCCCTGTATGTGTCTGGGTCCCTCAGAGTCAGCTGGTGTTGGAGCTCAGAGTAAGTGAGTCTGAGTACATTCATTCATTGGCCCTTTAAAAGGAACATCTGGGTCTCCAGCAGCCTCCATGTCCCTCAGCCACATTTATCACTGGTTTTTACAGCCTGTAATTCGAAGACTTCTCTTCTCATCTCTGGAACCCTGGTCTGGGGGTTTGGGGTGGGGCTGGGACCTCTTGTTCCTCATGGGCAGCCTCCATAGAGATGATCTACCTCCCAATTAAAAAATGACACGTGTATGTTGGACTAACCTGTTCATCACCTCTGTCCCTCCTACCCGTCTCAATGTGCTTTCTTCTTTACTTCTCTAGTTGTAAGACTTCCTTCCATTCAGCCAGCTTTCACGTAGTTCTGAATGATGGTTGTTCTGTATTTTAGTTGTAATTTTGATGTGGTTGTGAGAGGTGGCAAGTACAGGCATTTACCTATGCTGCCATCTTGGTTCTCTCTGGGCCTAAATAGTTTTAATCTTAATTTGAAGCATGATATAATCCCTGCAAGAGCCAGTGCATGGTAAACTAGTGAAATCTGAATAAAGTTAGTGGATTATGTCAATGTGAATTTCCAAATTCTGATATTGTACTGTAGTTATGTAAGACATTGTAATTGGTGAAAAGGGATGAAGGATGCATTATTTCTTTTTTCATGTGATAAAATATACATAACACTAGAGGCCTGGTGCATGAAATTAGTGCAGTGGTGGTGGTGGTGGTGGGGTTCTCAGCCCAGCCTGCACCCTCTCCAATCTTGGACCTCTTGAGGATTGTCCACAGGGATCTGGCCTAAACTGGAAGTCGAACATCCCTCTCACAATTCGGGACTGCTGGCTCCAACCACTTGCCTTCCTGATTGTCCCTAACTGCCTGCCAGACTGATCACCCCCTAAACATTCCCCTGCCAGCCTGATCGATGCCTAACTGCTCCCCTGCCAGCCTGATTGCCCCCAACTTCCCTCCCCTGCAAACCTGGTCCTCCCCAACTGCCTTCTCCTGGTTGCCCCCTACTACCTTCCCCTGCTGGCCTGGTTGCCTCTAACTGCCCTTCCCTGCTGGCTTGATCACCCACAACTGCCCTCCTCTGCCGACCATCTTGTGGTGGCCATCTTGTGACCACATGGGGGAGGCCATCTTGTGCAAGGGCATGGTGGTCAATTTGCGTATTACCTCTTTATCATATAGGATAATATTTACTATTTTAACTATTTTAGGTGTACAATTCAGTGGCATTAAGTATGCTAACAATGTTGTGCAACCATCACCACTATCCGTTTCTAAAACTTTTTCATCATTACAAACAGAAATTCTGTATCCCTTAAACAACTTCTCCCTAATTCTCCCTCTCCCTTTCTACTTTTGTTTCTATAAATCTACCTATTTTAGTTATCTCATATAAATGAAATCATACAAGAATTGTTCTTTTGTGTCTGGCTTATTCCATTTAGCATAATCTTTTCAAGGTCATCCATGTTGTAGCATGTATCAGAATCTCATTCCTTTTAAAGGTTGGATAATATATATACACATACCACATCTTATTTATCTGTTGGTGGACATTTGAATCGTTTTTACTTTCTGGCTGTTTGAATAATACTGTTAAGGACATTAGAAAATAGTCTGGCTGGTGTTGTTCAGTGGTTGAGCATCGACCTGTGAACCAGAAGGTCATGGATTGATTTCAGGTCAGGGCACATATCTGGGTTGTGAGCTTAATCCCCAGTAGGGGCCAGGTGATCAATGATTCTCTTTCATCACTGATGTTTCTCTCTCTCCCTCTTCTTTCCTTTCTGAAATCAATAAAAATACATTTAAAAAAGGAACATTGGCACACAAGTATTTATTTTAGCTCCTGATTTCAATTCCTTTTGGTATTTACCTAAAATTGCTGGGTCATATGATAATTCTATGTTTAACTTTTTGAGGAACTGCCAAATAATTTTCATAGCAGCTGCACAATTTTACATTCCCACCAGCAATGCACAAGTGTTCCAATTTCTTCATGTTCTCACCAACACTGTTATATCTTTATTTCTTTACATTTTTATAATAGCCATCCTAAAGTGTTATCTCATTGTGGCTTTAATATGCATTTTCCTAGTGACCAATTTTGTTGAGCATTTTTTCATGTATTTATTGTCCATTTGTTTATCTTTGGTGAAAGATTTTTCTTTCAGTCCTTTGCCCATTTCAAAATCAATTGTTTTTCTGTATTCTCACAACTGTATGTGAATCTGCAATTATATAAAAATAAAAAGTTTAATAAAGAAATTTCTTGATTTTTTTCAGCCTTTAGCTGTCTTTTCCTAAAAGCATCTTATGCCCTAAAAGGGAAAAAGTACCCCCAATATCTAGTTTATCTCCTCCCAAATCTCCACCCCATTTTTCTTCACTGCCTTTTTTTTTGCCCCCCTCCCTCCCTCCCATACATACCCTCCCTCCCCAGAGTTTTATGTCCATTGGTTGTACTTATATGCATGTATACAAGTTCTTCGGTTGATCTATTATCTCCCCCAGTTCTCCCTCCCCTCCCCACTGTAATTTGACAGTCTGCTTGTTGCTTTACTGTCTCTATATCTATCTTTTGGTTCATCAGTTTATAATGTTCTTTATCATCCATAAATGAGTGAGGTCATGTGGTGTTTCTCTTTCATTGATTGGCTTATTTCACTCAGCATGATGTTCTCCAATTCCATCCAGGGTGCTGCAAATGATGAGAATTCCTTCTTTTTTATGGCAGCATAGTATTCCATTGTGTAGATGTACCATAGTTTTTGGATCCAATCATCTGCTGACGGGCACCTAGGCTGTTTCCAAATTCTGGCTATTGTAGATTGTGCTGCTATGAACATAGGGGTGCATATATCCTTTCTGATTGGTGTTTCTAGTTTCTTGGGATATATTCCTAGGAGTGGGATTACTGGGTCAAATGGGAGTTCCATTTTCAGTTTTTTGAGGAAACTCCACACTGTTCTCCACAGTGGTTGCACCAGTCTGCATTCCCACCAGCAGTGCACGAGGGTTCCTTTTTCTCCACAGCCTTGCCACATTGTTGTTTTGATTTGCATCTCTCAGATAATTAGTGACTTTGAGCATGTTTTCATATGCCTTTTGGCCTTCCTTCTGTCTTCTTTTGAAAATATTCTATTTAGGTCCATTGCCCATTTCTTAATTGGGTCATTCATCTTCCTTTTATTTAGTTGTATAAGCTGTCTGTAGATGTTGGAGATTAAACCTTTATCAGTGGTATTATTTGCAAATATGTTCTCCCACACCCACACCGTGGGCTTTCTTGTTGTTCTGTTGATGGTTTCTTTTGCTGTAAAAAAGTTTTTTATTTTGATGTGGTCCCATTTGTTTATTTTCTCTCTAGCTTCCATGGCCCTAGGGGCAGTGTCAGTGAAGAAGTTCTTTTCACTGCCTTTTTAGCTCAACAGTGCCTTCAAGCAGCTGTTTTAAACATTTTGTCCAGCTTTTCTGTCTCTCCACATGACCTTATCTACCATTATTAGGAGTCTCTTTTTGTTCAGTTATGGTTTTGAAAAAGAAAAAAATATTTAAATGAATGTAAGAGTAATTTTAAAAAATCAAACTCTGTATGCAGTTTAAACATAACACTAAGTCTTTACCCAGTAAAAACATTTCTGCATGAGATAGAGATAACATGGACTAGGTATATGGGAGAAATGGCAGTTCCTTCTGCATCTTACAATATTTTATGGGAGAAAATGTACTTAAAGTATTCTATTGCCAGAAAAAATACACTTATTTTATTAGGGTCTCTTACTTAAAAATCACCTCTGCAGAGAGGCTATGTTGGGGGTGCCCCTTGATAATTCACTAGGAGGATTCACAGGTTCCAGAAAAATCAGCAAAAGAAAGAGGTACAGGGGTGAAGTCTGGAAGAAACTGAATTCTTGGAGGCATGCATCTGGTTGTCCAGGGTTCTTTATTGGGGATCTTCACATAGACATATAGCCCCTCCATGGGTAATCTCAGTTACTGAAGCTCCAGACCCCCACAGAGAAAGCAGGGACTCATTATAAATCACATTTACACTAATAAAAGAGAAAGATGCAAATTGACCATACCTTTGTGACTCCACCAGCTAATTAGGAGTGAGCATGCAAATTAACCCAACAAAGATAGCAGGTTAATTTGGATGCACAGGAACCAAACAGGATAGGACTCAGGTGTTCCACACCACCCAGCTGCTCCAGGCCTCTGGCAGTGTGGGAAGGAGGAAAGGACAGAGCAAAGGTGGTGCCAGCAGTCAGAGGAAGGAAGGCCCATTTTTACATGAATCTTGGTTCATCAGGCCTCTAGTTTCAGCATAAATTATCTGGATAAACGAGTACAGTGTGACTCAAGGCCTCAGGCATGCAGAGTACTTTTATCAGGCTGATCAATCCAAGGAAGAGCTTGGCTCCCAGGTGCCAGACAAAAACAGTCCTTTCTTGAGAATATGCAGGGTTTGAGCAACCTAGCTCTGCTAAATTAACCATTTTTCACCCAGAGGTCTATCCTGACCAAACCTGAAGAAAGAAGCAGCCCTTGTTACTCGTTAGTTCCCCACCCTATTTTTTAATGGCATTCATCACTGTAAGAACCTGGGCTATATAATTATTTGTTTATTTGACACCAATGAAATAACATATTATTTACTATCACTCTTTCTCCACTAGACTATCAGTTCCACGAGGCCAGAGGTTTTGTTTCGTTCACTGCTGTATTCCCAGTGTCTAAAACGGTACCTGTAGTAGGTACTCAACAGGTGTTCGTTGTATAAATAAATGAATAAAAATGCTCATGCATGCAATTACTTAGGAATGCCAGTAATGTTGCCTGGATCTAAAAATTTGGGACATGCTGCTGTTGCATGAACGACAATTTCCTCACCTGTTTACTTCTCTCTCCTGAACAGGTCTATAATTCAGCGGCCACATCTTTCCCTCGAAGATTTGTTTTGCCCTTACATGCCAGTTTGAACGCCCCTGAGGGAGAGAACCTCAGCCCGCTGTCTTACTCCTCAGCCAGTGCTGTGAAACAGGCTGATGGCAAGGTAGGCTCTGAGCAGATATCAGACGAAGACACTGACTGTTAGTGTTGTTTTCACTCACTGGCCGTTTCCCACAGTGTTTGATGGACACTAAGTTTCACAACATTCAGCTGAGCAGGGTCAGGTCCAGGTACATTGCTTGGACCGCAGAATTCAGTTTGAACCGCAGAATTCAGTTTGGGAGTGAGCACTGTGTTCACCGATCTCTTTTGTGTTTTGAAACAGATATACGAAAAACTAGAAACGGTTGTAAAATGTTTAAATATTTCAGATTGGTCCTGGTCACCCCTGCCTTTTAGATAATTTGTGCTTATCACAGGCGTATTATTGGCTAGCTATCAATGTCTTAGCTTTAGTAGAATAAAAAGTTCACTTGTACCTCCTATCAGTTTAGTCAGAAAACCAGGTAATTTTTTATGCATTTTACCCATGATGGCAAGAAGAACAATATAAAAATTACATAGAACCTTCATTTCCAAGCCCTGTCAGAAACTCTTCCACAGTATGACCCCCTCACAGACTTTTACACTGATGAAAATAAGTGAGGATTAGGCAATCACTACAAATCTTTTGGAACCTTTTCAGATTTGGTGCTCTTATGAAAATCTACACCCTGAGAACTTAGAACAAGTAGGAGGTATTGAGTTTCCCCAGATCAACTATGGCCAGTTTTGTGGCAAAAAGTATCGTTTCTTCTATGGCTGTGGATTTCGGCATTTGGTGGGGGATTCTCTGATCAAGGTCGACGTGGTGAACAAGACACTGAAGGTAATGAAAATCTCTCTTGTTTTCCAAACCCTGAAAGGACCTGCTCTGCCCTTGGAATGAGTCTGTTTTGATTAAGGCAGCTTTAAAAAAAAAAAAAAAAAAAAAAAAAAAAAATATATATATATATATATATATATATATATATATATATATATATATATTTATTTATTTTTTACCGAGAGGAAGAGAGAGGAAATAGAGAATTAGAACATCGATAAGAGAGAATCATCGAAGAGCTGCCTCTTGCACACCCCCACTGGGGATGTGCCCCCAACCAAGGTACATGCCCTTGACCGAAATCGAACCCAGGACCTTTCAGTCTGTAGGCCGACGCTCTATCCACTGAGCCAAACTGGTTTCGGCTAAGGCAGCTTTTGAGATTCTCTAATGTTTAAGCAGCTCAGCTACTTACTTGTATTAAGTTTGAGAACCATGGAATCACCTAAGTAGGGTTATGTTCCCTCTAAGGAATCTAGATAAACCACAAGCCCAGAATTCTGAGCTTGATGTTATTTTGAGAGAAATCATGGGGCTAAGGTTGTTGGCATAACTATATTTCAGGTTGATGGGAAATTATAATTTCACAAGTTGTGTCTGATGATGATAGACAGTGCAGCTGCAAAAGCTCCCTCTCTCTTTCCTACTATATTCAATTCAGTAAGTCTGGTGTGTTTCTTTTTTATTGTTGGAATATTATATTGACAGCCAAATTTATGCGTGGAGGGGAAAAAAGCTATTGAAAGCTTTCAGCTCTTAACTAACCTTCTATCAAATACTTTTTTGGGGGAGTTACAGGTTTGGAGAGAAGATGACTTTTATCCGTCAGAACCTGTTTTTGTTCCAGTACCAGGGTCCAGTGAGGAAGATGGTGGGGTTATTCTTTCTGTGGTGATCACTCCCAACCAGGTAAATGTATGTCCCTGTCACCAATCAGAAAGAAAAGTAACTCTGAGCCTTTTGAGGTCTGTATGAGGGATCTATTCAGTGAAGCTGCTGATAGTTTACTTTTATTCCAGTGTGGCACCTTCTCTTTTCTTTCCCTCCTTATCATTTACATACCTTTTGTGATAACCCATACTTTTTATTGGTTTAGGTTTCTATTTGTAGAACTGTAGGAATTTATATCTGCATAGGAATGCAGTTACAAACTACTTTCATACATATTATTTTATTTACACATCAAGCAACTTTGTGGGATACCATTTACACATGTGGAATTTGTAACTTAAGAAAGCTGAAAGAGACTTGTATCAGATCTCATAGTACAATAGTAAAGCCAGTATTTAACCCCCGTCTTCTGACTTCTAGTCTAATATTCATACCATCTGTGCTGCCAAATTCAATGGAGTGACCTGAAAGTCTAATGTGGTGAACCCGGGACCTGGTGTCTCCATAATATCTAACGTCTCTGGGCAATGTTGTGGCAACTAGGTTCCCCTTGGAGACCAGCTCTGATGAACTCGTGGAGGCTGCCTGGGAGTTAGATCTCTGACCCTTCCAAAGGGTTTGGTGAGGAATGTGCTCTGATCAGTGAGTCAGTCCTGCTCAGGGTTTAGGAGGCATTGGTCCTAATACCATGTACTTGCCACTCCCATATTGATACCAGGCAAGTCTGGGTCTGCCCTGCAGTGATATGTTTGATCAGCTCTCAAGTAACACAAAATGGAGGGAGGCATTTCTAACTTGGAAGAAAGAATTTCTGTGAACTAGGTAAAAAGATCCCTAACCTTAAAGGGATCCTATGAAGGTGATTGACGTAAACAGTGTAACTTTTCCACTCTAGGTATGAGCTTCCTTTTCAGACCCGTTCAGCAACTCAGCAAACATTTAGTGACTGGGCAGGCAAGGCTCTCGGCTAGGTACTGAGGATAGCTGTGAAGATGAGTAACATAATCTCCCTCTTAGGAATTGTATAGCCTAGTGGAGGAGAGAGATCTATTTTTAATTAAAAAAAAAAAGAATTTTCAACATTATTTCTTTTCTAGAATAAAAGCAACTTTCTCCTAGTCTTGGATGCCAAGAACTTTGAAGAACTGGGCCGAGCAGAGGTGCCTGTGCAAATGCCTTACGGGTTTCATGGCACCTTCATAGCCACCTAAGAGAAGAACCGGGAGGTCTGGGGACCAGGTTTAAGATGAATGTGCTCTGTACAAAAAGAGACCGAAAAGGGAACCTTACTTTCCAAACCTCAGACATCTGGTTTTTACATTATTATATATAAAAAAAGATTTCAATTGATAATTAGGCTTTTATATTTTCTTAGGGCTCTTCCTTGAAAACACTGAGCAAGTGTTGATACCACTTTTTGAAGAGAGTTTTACATTTGTGTTTACTTGATATATCTCTCTCTCTCAGTAACAAGAATGCATGAAAGAAAAACTAGAAGTAGGTAAGTGACAGAGACTCTCACAGTGGAGAGAAGAAATCTGAATAATTGTAGGTAGTAGAATATGAATATAGATCTGAAAAGCACCGGTTTTTTTCGTCGTCATGGCCTGCCTGTTACCACTGGCCCCAGGTGATCAAGAGGACGAGAAGCCAGCCATGTCACCCTGGTGGCTTCTTTTAGACCGGCTGTTTCTCTGCAGTCCACAGCAGATGCCACTGCAGTTGGACCACCCTGCCCCTAGTTTGGCCTTGGTACTGTTTGGAAATGTTACAGGATTCCAGGGCAGGAGAAAAAGGGGAAATTGAGACAGGAAGGTTAGGACAAGGCCAAACATTGTGAGTAATTTGCAACTGGCCTGCAAGTGACAAACCAGTGTTTTTCCCAGGACACTCTGAGAGCAGATAGTTAGAACCTCCCTGCTCAGAGAATGCAGAAAGGGAGGGGAACAGGGAAAGGAGAAAAGGGCACTTTTACTCCCTAAGCTAGGGGTGTCGAACTCAATCAGAGAAGGGGCCAAAATCTAAAATCCAGCCTAAATCGCAGGCCGAATGGTTTACTGAACAGTCATAAACTGTCATTGTGATGGAAACGCAGCGGAGTGCAGTGATGACAGTGCGGTGCGGGCCACATTGCAAGGCCTGGCGGGACGGATTTGGCCCGCGGGCCTTGTGTTTGACACATGTGCCCTAAGCAAAGCCGGCAGCCTCGGGCCTCAGCAAGGTGAAGTTGCCAGGATCCTGGGAAGACCACAGCAAGAACACCTGGAGCCTTAACCTATACCAAGACACTCCACAAAAGAATCTCCTGAAACCTACAGACAGGAGGAGGTCTATTACTCCTCCAACTTGCTCCAGACACTCTCGTTTCTGTATTACCGGGAAAGCCCCTCTGTGCTCCAAGCCTGATGAGATAGATTTGCTTGCTTTGCTTTGCTTTTTCAATAAAGGTGCATGCGTTCACCACTTTAATAAATTGTTGTTGTTTTTTTTTTCACAATGCAGTCAAGGTCTCTTGTATAAACTCATTTATATGAGAAGACAAGGTTTGAGGTTGGGGACAGCCTTCTCTCTCCCACTAGCTCAGGGGGCTGTCCTGTCTGATAACACCTTTCTGGTGTCTGTGTGAGGTGCTAAAGTCAAGCATTTCTTCTAATCTCCAGGTGTCTTGTTCTTCAGAGATTAACGAAAAGTCATTAGTTCTTCATTTATTTGGGCAATAGGTGTTACTAGAGACCATTTAATTCCCACATTTCTAAACCCAACCAGTTTTTTACTAATAGCCCAAATTAGCCTAGGTTTGTCACTGAAGCCACACTCTTGCCGACATCTTCAAAGTTCCTTTCCTTCAGTCACACTCCTTCCCTCTGCTGAATTCCAGTCCTGGGCCAGCTAAACCTCTCATGCTCCCTCTGCCTGGTGAACATCGCTGGAAAAGACCCCCAAACATGTCTTTCAGGAGCAATTGTGAATTCATGATTAGGCTTGCTGCACAGTCCTGAACCAACAGTCAGTTTCTTCTTAATTTTCTTTCTTTTTAAAAATCGTCACCCAAGGATATTTTTATTGATTTTAGAGGAGGGTGGGAGTAAAAGGTGGGGGGGGGGGGAAGAGAGAGAGAGAGAGAGAGAGAGAGAGAGAGAGAGAGAGAGAGAGAGAAGATAATCAATGCATGAGAGAACATTGATTGGTCACCTTCTGAATGTGCCCCAACTAGGGATCAAACCCACAACCTGGGTATGTGCCCTGACCAGGAATTGAACCCACAACCTTTAAGTATACGGATAATGCTCCAACCAACAGAGCCACATGGCAGGGCTCAATTTTCTTTAAAAGTTATTGTAGCCAAAACTGGTTTGGCTCAGTGGATAGAGCGTCGGCCTGTGGACTGAAGGGTCCCGGGTTTGATTCCGGTCAAGGGCAGGTGCCTTGGTTGTGGGCACATCCCCAGTAGGAGGTGTGCAGGAGGCAACTGTTTCTCTCTCATGAATGTTTCTAACTCTCTATTCCCTCTCTCTTCCTCTCTGTAAAAAATCAATAAAATATATTCTAAAAAATGAGTTATTGTAAACACCACAGACCCTACCTCTTTAGTTCCATACATACAGATGCCCTATGTGAGAGTTTACATTGTGACAATAAAGTAAAAGTTCTAAGTTTTGGGTTTGTGTTAGTGAGATACAGAACAATAGTGCAGGCACACAATGGCAAGAAGATACCTAAGTAGAACAGATATGTCATATGTGGGAGCTTAGAGGCAAAGGTAACCATCCTATCTAATAAAGAGGGAATATGCTAATTAACCATCACTCTGTCACAAAGATGACTACACCCACAGCTGAAGCCAAGTTCCCATAAGAAGCCTTAACAAGCAATCAGGAGGGACCTGAGGCTATGCCCTCCTCTACCCTGATGGGGCTTGACAGGGGACCTCAGACCATGTCTCCTGCCTTGTCACCAGGCTGGGGGACTCTCAGGCCATGCCTCCATGCGATTTTGAGGTGAATGTGGGTGGGTGAGGACTTGACTCTGTGTTCTGTGGTGTGCCCTAGACTCTGACAGGAGGAAGGTTTTCCAAATAAAGTTATATTGTGAGGTACTGGGGGTTAGGACTTTAACCCATTAATTTTGGGGCTACAATAACTGGATCACCTTTATATTGAGAAATCACCACTTATATATCAGCCACATCCATGAATTTATCTGTCTTTCCCAGTGCCGGGAATAGTGCCTCCCAGTAGATATTCAATAAATATTTGAGGAAAGCATGAATGGAAGACATGGCATGGTACTAGGCATGCAAGTTGTTTGTGTATTCCTTACGAGTAGTTGTTGAGGAAACATTTGTCATAGAATCACTTGTGTGGGTGTTCATGGGTGTGAGTTCTCGCATGGTGCCAGCACAGAGTGATGCCCGATTTCACAGTCCAAAGGCAGTCTACTCTCTGAAAGCCGCGTGGTCCTGCACTTGCCCTCGAGTTCCTGCCTCCTTTACCACAAGGCAGCAGTTCTCAACCTGTGGGTGGCGACCCCTTTGGAGGTTGAGTGATCCTTTCACAGGGGTTGCCTAAGACCATTGGAAAACACAGATATTTACAATTCATAACAGTAGCAAAATTACAGTTATGAAGTAGAAACGAAAATAATTTTATGGTTGAGGGTCACCACAACATGAGGAACTGTGGCGGCATTAGGAAGGTTGAGAACCACTGCCATAAGGAGACTGGCCCTGCGGTAAACCAGATACTGGAAGTTTCTATTGTAATCCAGGGCACCTAGATTCTCTAGGTCCTAGACCTAAACATGACTAGGAGTGGCGGCTCAGAGAAGTCCCTCGGAGGCCCAGAGGGTGCCTAGGCTGGCCCTGACTGCGTGGCATGGCCTCAGACTGAGCAGACATAAGAATCGACACTAAAACCCATTCATTTGACCACTGCTAAGTGCCCAGCTGTCTGAATTCTGGCTTTCCCGAGATCCAATTAGCAAGGGGCGCCTGCCACAGCCTCCAGGCCGGCAGAGGGAGCCCGGCCACAGGGCGTGGCGCAGAGACTTCCGGGCGCTGCGCAGAGACTTCCGGGAGCTGCGCAGAAGGCTTTCGGGCGCAGCGCGCACTGCGCAGCCCAGCCGTGAGGCTCCGCCCACCCCAGCCACCGTCACCCGGGACGTGGCAGGAGCGGAACTGCCAGGCGATGAGCGGTGCGGCTCCCGGCCGGCGCCGCTGGGCGCGAGTGTCCCGTCTCGTCTCCTTCAGCGCGACCCACCGGCTCCACTGGTGGGTTGTGCCCCCAGCGCGGGGGTGGGGCGGGCCCGGCGCGGGGCCGCGGGTGTGCGCTCCGAGGTGAGGGCGGCGCGCCCGCTCGGCCCTGGCCCGTCAGGCTCTTTTGGCGACACCGTTAGGGGACTGGCAGGGTGACCGGTGGGCAGTCCAGCCGCCGGCGAGAGAGAAGGCGCTGGCTCCGTGACCTCGTGGTCTCAGCGGGGCGGTAACGGTCAGTGGGGCGAACCACGCCCAGATCACACAGAGCCCGGCGCTTCGTAAGCACTCAATAAGTGTTAGCTTCCGAACTAATAAAAGTACAGCACAAATGTTGTCCTCTTGTCACTTAAGAGAAAATGGACCCAGTGTTCACTTCCCCAAGGCAGCTCCGAGAGCAAGCAGCACAGTTGCATCCCACTGCTTGATGGCACTAGAATTGGTTCATTTAAAAAAATATATTTTTGTTGATTTTGGAGAGGAAGGGAGAGAGATAGAAACATCAGTGGGCTGCCTCCTGCAGGCTTCCTACTGGGGATCCAGCTCACAACCCCAGCATGTGCCCCACCAGGCATGGAACCAGGATCTGGCCCATAGGTTGATGCTTAAGACTGAGCCAGGCCTGCGGGGCTAAAGTTGATTTTGAGGAGAGATTTGCCCCTCAATAGCAAGCTCCACTCTGAGTACCCACTCCCCCATCCATAAAAGAAGGATAATAGTTTCTACCTAGCAAGGTCCATCCATCATTCACTGGAGAGGTATTTCTTGGGGCTTGTCAGGCCTTGTGCCAGATAACGGATGTAGCGGTGAGCAGTGCGCACCCGTCACGCCTTCTGGGTGGAGTGTACAATCTGGTCAATACTGTGGAAGGTACAGTGAGATCATTTTGTGCAAAATCTTTGAACTGTAGCATTTTAAATGTAAGAAGTGCAGGAGCAGGAGAAGATGGGGGAAATAATAAAGTGGGTCTCAAACAGAAAGGGATTGTATAATAGAAAGCTTGAACATATGAGGGTAGTAAGGGACTCATTATTGCTGCAAAGATTGGACAGGGAGAGGCATAAAAATCCATTAAGCAAGGTGCTCTCTGCCTGGAACAACAGTTGAGTATGTAATTGTAAAGTGTCACCTGATTTGAATGCCCCTCAATGAACTGGGGAAGTTATCAGTGGAGGTATGATAAAGCAAGATTGTTAAAGAAGAGACTAATAGGTCATGTAATTATTTCTCAGGAGCAATGAGAATTTTTTAAAAAATATTTTATTGATTTTGTACAGAGAGGAAGGGAGAGAGAGAGAGAGAGTTAGAAACATCGATGAGAGAGAGTCATCGATCAGCTGCCTCTTGCACACCCCCTACTGGGGATATGCCCGCAACCAAGGTACATGCCCTTGACCGGAATCGAACCCCGGTCCCTTCAGTCCCCAAGCCAACGCTCTATCCATGGAGCCAAACCGGTTTCGGTAGCAATGAGAATTTAAACCACTTGACGACAAGCATCTTTTATCATTCAGCTGTGCCTAATATGTAGTAGGTACTCAGTAATGTTGAGTTGAGAAATGGAAGGGCCTTGAGCAGATCAGGTTTTGGAATCTTGCTATGGAACAAGGGGGTTGAAAGTGCTTATGCTAATTTGTATGGTGTAGTAGTCTAATTGGGGGGCATACAGTGGTTCCTGACATAAAGCTGAATAATGAAACCCAGGTGATTTATGATTCTCCACTTGATGAGCTAAAGTATTAATAAATTGTGAAACTTATATTGATCTTTTTCTCCCCCCCCCTCCCCGTCAGCAAATCTCTGAGTAATGAAGAAAATTTGAAACTGTTTGGAAAATGCAACAACCCAAATGGTCATGGGCACAATTACAAAGGTGAGAGGAAAACTGATGAAATTTAGCCCTTTCAGTAAGAGTGGGAGAATTTTAGCAAATACATTCTTAATGAGTAAAAAAAAACGTATGGGCAGAGCAGTAATGCTTTGAGCCTTGAATGAGAGGTTAAGTGGAAGTTTAGAATGAAGAGAGCTGTTGCCTTGGTGGGATGTGTTTTAGCTTTTATCTTGCAATTAATTATCTGCTTTGATAGACAGTCCAAAATAATTAATGGTTTAAATAATTTTTTTTGGCTTTAGTGTACATATTGAGATTTTTTGGGCACATTTCATTGTAATTAGGTGTTGCTGAGGCTAATGTTAAAATTATCAATAGATTTGTATTCTTTGAATAAGTATGATTGACAAAAGGGGGGTGTTGGTTGGGAATATGCTGTATGGAGGGAAGTAGGTTGAGTTGAAAATTTTGCCAGTAGTGTCCAAGAAAGAAAGTAATTTATACCAGAATTAGAGAGTTGATTGTTTGAAATATAGTAATTTCTCAAAAAAACAGGTATGTAAGCCGTTGAGTATCACTGTATATGGTGTGGTGGATTAAGACCAGGAAAGGTATCAGAAGATCAGGATTTCTAGTTTAGTTATTGCCTCTTACTTGATCTATGATACCTTTCATTCTTAGTTTGTTATTTTTCATATAATATCCCATGGTGTTTGTATGGAGCTGAAAAAATATGGAAGTTTTTAATTTGTAAAGTATTCTTATTACCATGATTTTTCAAATGCTTCGTATAAGCACTTGTTAATTTACAAAGTATGACTGTATACATTCGTCTGAGTAAAGGGATAAGAGTTTTATTCCCCTGCCTCTCCAAAAAGAGTTTTAGTTACAGTAGTAGTTTTGCTTGCTTAGAAAGGTAGTGCCCAAAAGGTACTGACAGAGTCTGCAGCTGGACTTCTTCCTGTACATTTCCTACTTTACAGGCAGCGATGGGGCAGCATCTTGATCCTTTCTCGTGGAGATTTCTAACTAGTGCCATCAACATCATAAGCAGAATTTACCCCCTTCTTGGCTTTGGATTAGCTCTTCTGCTTAGCTAAAGCTCCTACTAAGCTCTTCTGTCTTGGTTGACCCTTGTTTTGGTTGATAAAACAATCTTAACTAAGAGGACAGATTTTTTTTGGCAATATAAATACAGCTCTATGGGGCAGAGATTCTAAAAATGTATGCTGCTAACTTGTGCTTGGATGTTAATCTGTTGAAAGTCATGTTAGTCTTTTGGTCTTTTGTTTTCTTTCCCATAGTTGTGGTGACAGTACATGGAGAGGTATGTGCTGAATGTGTCTGTGTGTCCTCTTTCTGCCAATGTATAGATTCAGTGCTGACAAATTCTGTTCAAGTCATTATTGCTTCAATATTGTCCGTTGTGTCTGGTGAGCTGCTGCCATTCCAGGCCTTTCCTCTCTCTAAGTGTCATCTTTCATCTTTAATGTGCTGTATGTGGGCAGGTAGAAGAGCAAGACAATGAAAGGATATTTGGAGCACTTGGTGTTCCCGTGCTGAGACTGATGATTGTGTTGGGGGTGAAGGCAAATGTGGACACAATTTCTGCACGTTGTAGAGCCTTTAATATTTACCAGAGGTTTAAATATGAAGAGGATGTTATAGTAATATTCTTCTCTATTTATTCTTCAGATCGATCCTGTTACAGGCATGGTTATGAATTTGACTGACCTCAAAGGGTATATGGAGGTAATGGCATGTTTGGTGCTTATTATGTGCCATCCCTTAAGTAATTCCCATCAGCTACTGGCTTTTCACTTTCCCAGCCAAGTAACTATGAGTTCCATGATGGGGTGAGTGGAATTGGGTGTGGGAATAGGGGAGTAGTTGGAGGAACTACTTTCATGTTCTTCTAATGGTGTTTGGGTGACTAAATGGAAATTGTCACTATTGTATTACAGTGATGGAGATAAATGTAGCATGCTCATCTTATATTCCTTGCTGCCTTTAACAATTTCCTACATTTAACAATTTCGACTCTTGTTTCAAAATACAGATTTCTTCTTGAAGTTTTCTTTTTGTCCCCTCTGAATTTTTTATAAAATAAATCTTTGATAATAGATTTTAACACTACCCTGTTTTAGTCATTCTAGCCTGATTATAAAGCACTGGGGCAGTTCGTCATAAGGGTAACACAAAAGAATGTGTTCAATAAAGGACTTACTGATTGTATCACTTTAGAATTCTTGCATTGTAAGAGACTGTAGATAATATCTACAATAAGTAATTTCTTCATGTCACAGATTGTTTGAGAGATGCTAAACAGTTAACTCCAGGTCATAAACTGTAATTAGTCCTTTACAAAGTTGAGAGTAGATTTGCTTGTATCCAGCTTAGCTTTTATTATGTCATCATTTCACCTGTTTATTGAGTTCTTTGCTTCAGGTTTGCTCCTTCCATTTGTTTCATAAAAATGTTATTTATAAACATTATTTCTTGCACATTCATTATCATCCATATATTCAAGTTTGCCTACTTTGCATCAGTGTTTGGGCTAAGTACTAGGAATGCAAAGATGAATGGTTCAGAGCACTTTCCCACAGGATGCTCAGGTCAATTTTTTTTCTAGTAGGCAAACAATAAGTTCTCACAGGGTAAAAAAGATGAAGGGATTGAGAACTACAGATTGGTAGTTACAAAATTGTCATGAAGATGTATAGTACAGCATAGAAAATATATTCAATAATATTGTAATAACTATGTATGGTACCAGCTAGGTATTGGAAATATCAGGGGAACACTTTATAAAATATATGGTTATTTAGCCATTATGCTGTACATCTGAAAATAATACAAAATAATATTGAATGTAAAGTGTAAGTGAAAAAAGGTTTTCAGCAAATTGGTTGAATAAATGAATAAGGGAGTTAGTGAATGAACAACAGCGCTGTGCTTAAAGTGCTTTTGGAAAGCTATAGAGACAGAGTTCTTACATAGGGTGATATTTAAGACAGCAGTATGAGAAATATGAGATGCCCTAAGTAAGCATTATGATTAAATACATCTTTGTTTACCACCTTGAAGGACATCATACACTCCCGTCAGTAAAAGTGGCTCATCATGGCATATAGTGCAAAGTCAGAGTCCTGTTGAAGAGGCTGCAGTGGAAAAGTTGAGACTTGAACTGGAATTAAAGATAAAACAAAGATATTTCTTTTCATGATATCTATGTGGATATCACTTAATCTATTTTAAAGGTAGTTTGGTTTAGGACTTACTATTTTTGTGATTATGATTTTTCTAAAAAAATGATTGCTATTTTTATTATTTTTTAATTAAAAAATATTTTATTGATTTTGTACAGAGAGGAAGGGAGAGAGAGAGAGAGTTAGAAACATCGATGAGAGAGAGTCATCGATCAGCTGCCTCTTGCACACACCCTACTGGGGATATGCCCACAACCAAGGTACATGCCCTTGACCGGAATCGAACCCAGGACCCTTCAGTCCCCAATCTGACGCTCTATCCATTGAGCCAAACCGGCCCTGGCTATTTTTATTATTAATGTACACTTGTTAGACCATACCACATGGAGAATTAGATTATTTTGATTTTGAACAATATAGCTAATTAAAAGTAGAAAATTAGAAAATGCTTAGCTTTTGTACAATATAGCTAAAAACTTAGAATAAAGCAATTACAATTCTTGATATTGATAAAGGAAAACATGTTAATATATAAGCATTAGGAAGAAATGCAGTTATGTCATATTTTTTCTTCTAAGGGTTCAAGATAATTTTTAAATTATTCCTTATAGCAGAAATGTGGTACTATTAATGTAATATCAGTTTTAGTCTGCCTTATAAAATGTAGTACTCACTGAATCTCTCCTAGTGACATTGTGGCATTGTCTTGAAGGTGAGACTCTTATGGAGTAGTATTTTTGGTAACTTTTTGGACAGCATGCAAGAGTGTTAAACTGAATTCTGAATCACAGTGGCTGTTATGAGAAAACTCCAGTGAATACTCTACTTATTGGTTTCTTAACCTCTTTGCATTCAGTAAGAAGGAAAAATAGTCATTATGGAGGGCTAATGTTATTTCACAATTTTAAAATTTCTGAAATTGCTTCGTAAGACACAGATAAAGTACACAGTAAAAGTATTGAGTTAGTGGCTGAATGATAACTTTTAGAGGCAAAGGTAGAACACTTTGGAATCTGAGACATAAATGGAATTGATGTTTTTCCTCTGTTTTGTCTGTAGGAGGCAATCATGAAACCCCTTGATCATAAGAATCTGGATTTAGATGTACCATACTTTGCAGATGTTGTAAGGTGAGTGTGACTATATAACCTAATAAGAGTAATATGTAAATTAGCCATCACTCTGCTATGCAGGCCACGCCCACCAGCCACACCCAGTAGCTAATCAGAGCGAGTATGCAAATTAATCCAACGAAGATGGCAGTTAATTTGCATATGTGGAGGGAGGGAAAGCAAGGCTGCTGCGGCTGCTGGAGGGAAAGCGGCAGCAGGTGCGGGGTGGGGCAGGGCAGGGCAATGTGTGCAGAGTGGCATGCACAGAGGTGGTGGCTGCGGGAGACAGCAGGGGCGGTGGGTGTGGTGGGTTGGGTGAGCAGGGTGGGGTACACAGCAGCAGCCTGTGTGGGCCCCAGAGGCAGCGGCAGCGGGCGTGGCCACAGAGGCAGGGGCAGTGGGCGGGTGCAGTGGGTCCAGTGTGCGGGACAAGGCGCACAGTGGTGGTGGCAGCACGCTGCGCAGCCGCACGCGGGTGTGGTGGGGTATGCGGGGAACAGCAGAGGTGGGGGTGGCAGGAGGGAAGCCCGCCGGAAGTCTTGCAGGAATATTCCTGCAACAGGTGCCTAGTCTTACATAATATAGAGAATAAGAAAGAAGATGTTTAATGACACCTTTTAAAAATAGAATTTCTGTTCTCCGTAAATATTAAACATTAAATTTAATTTATTTGTCTTTTGATCGTCTCTCCTTTTCTCTACAGCACAACAGAAAATGTAGCTGTGTATATCTGGGATAACCTCCAGAAATTTCTTCCTGTGGGGATTCTTTATAAAGTAAAAGTATATGAAACTGATAATAATATTGTAGTCTATAAAGGAGAATAGCCCTTAGGAATCAATACTATAGATTCTATAGAAATCCATAGTATAGAAATATTCAATTTCTGTCCACATTTGAAAAATATCTTTATCCCCTTGGACTATTAAGACACCATCACATAGTTACTGCACCTCTACACTGTTCTGGAATGCCTGATTCATTGTAATCATTGTAAGACTTCTGTTAAATTAAAATCTATTTTAAAACCAAATTTGTAATGTATCATGAGTATCATTAAGAGTGCCTGTTTTGTATAGATTAAAAATCACTTCACTGCAATTGTTGCTTTATGTTTTTGATTTTCACCACCCTGGATTCCTTGTGGGCAAAGTCTTTATTCTAAGCAGAGTACCTAGTGATTTTTGTTGATTAAATCAATGGCATATTGATGGAAACTTGAAACTTATAGTGCCTTAGCCATGATGAATACTTGGTCAATATTTTTAGAATTGAAAAACATGAAAGTTTTGAGGCTTCAATTCCAGTCCCAGTGCTGTTACTGTTCATTTGTGCCACTTCTATCTCAGAGCCTTAGGGTTGCTTTACCAGAGGCTTCCTAAAGCTGCTCCTGTCTGCTCTCAGAGTTATATCTCCATAATTTTAAATACCAAATGAGTATATATTCATTTATTGATAGATAAGGAAAAAGATTGATATGGGATTGTGTGGAGCTCTGACCAGAGTACACTGGAGGTTAAAGGCCCGCTCAGCAAATACACACGAGCCGGCACTGACATGGCAGTGTTGCTATCTTAAAGTCCCCTTTGCCCTACGCATGTGCCAGGGCAGTGACTCAGCAGTAGCGCTGTGTGTACTGTGAAAGTGCATCCTCATACGACCTGCTTATGTTAATGCAGCACGAGTGTCACTAATTTTGTTTGAGTATATATGGTAAAGGACTTCCCAGACAAGAAAAAGCTAAAGGAGTTCATCATCCCCAAATCAGCATTAAATGAAATATTATAGGATCTTCTTTTAGAAGAAAATAAAAAATATGAACAATAAAAAATAAATACATAGCTATCAACAATTGAATCTAAATACAAGATAAACAGAAAAACAAAAAACAAAACAAAACCAGATAAACGAACAAGCAGAACAGAAACATATTCATGGATAACAGAGAACATGTTGATGGTTGCTAGATGGGAGGGTGGTTAGGGAAATGGGAGAAAAGGTGAAGGGATTAAGAAGTACAAATTGGTTGTTACAGAATAGTCATGGGGATGTAAAGTACAGAATAAGGAATATAGTAAATAATAATCTTTAAAAAAATCTTTTAAAAAAAATCTTTATTGTTCATATTATTACAAATGTTCCTCATTTTTTCCCCACTCCATTGCTCCCCTCCATCAGGTTCCCACCCCACCTCTGCCCTTTCCCCACCCCCCATTGTCCTCATCCATAGGTGCACAGTTTATGTTCAGTCTCTTCCTACACCCCCCCCCCCATTCCCCTTTTCCCCAAGAATCGTCAGTTCACTCCCCTTCCATACCTCTGATTCTATTATATTCACCAGTTAATATTGTTTATCAGATTTTTAGATTTCCTTGGTTTTTAGATTCACTTGTTGATAGTTACATATTTGTTGTTCATAATTTTTATCTTTATTTTCTTTCTCTTCTGAAAGAACTCCCTTCAGCAATTCATATAATTCTGGTTTGGCAGTGATGAACTCTTTTAGCTTTTTTTTTTTTTTTTTTATTAGTGAAGCTCTTTTTCTGGCCTTTGATTCTGAGTGATAGCTTTTCTGGGTAGATTATTTTTGGCTGTAGGGTCTTGCTATTCATTACCTTGAATATTTCTTGCCATGCCCGTCTGGCCTGCATGGTTTCTGTTGAGAAATCAACTGATAGTCATATGGGTGCTCCTTTATAGGTAACTACCTTCTTTGCTCTTACTGCTTTTAATATTCTCTCTTTGTCTTTTGCTCTTGGAATTTTAAGTATGATGTGTCTTGGTGTGGTCCTCTTTGGATTCCTTTGGTTTGGAGTTCTGTGCGCTTCCTGGACTTGTAAGTCTAATTCTTTCCCCAGGTGGGGGAAGTTTTCTGTCACTATTTCTTCCAGTATGTTTTTGGTATCTTGCTCTCTCTTCTTCTGGGACACCCATAATTCTGATGTTGGTTCACTTGAAGTTATCCCAGAGGTTTCTTACATTATCTCAACTTTCTGGATTCTCTTGTTCTTGCTTCTGCAGAGGAATGTCTTCTGGCTCTTTATGTTCCAAATCTTTGACTTGATTCTTGTGATCTTCCATTCTGTTTTTAGGACTCTGTATAATATTTTTTATTTTAGACAATGTATTCTTTATTTCTTGTTGATCCCTTATTATTTCTAGTTTATTCATTTTCATATCCTCATAGGTCTCGTTTATTTTATCGGCCTTTTCTAGGAAATTCTTGAAAAACCTTATAAGCGTGGTTTTGATCTCTCTATCCAGTCGCTTTTTGTCCTCTATTTCTTTCGTTTGTGATCTGTTTTCCTGTATCGGCATTTTTGCAGCTTCCCTGAGTTGGTAGCCTTAAAAGTCTCTGTGTTCAGCTTGGATGGGGTGGAGTTTCAGGGTGGAGCCTACAGCCTTGGCTTCCGTCAGCCATGCCCTATGCGGCTCCTGAGTCTCAGTGTTCCTCAGTGTCCTTCAGTACTCGCTGCAAGCACCTCTGAGGGAAAGGTGCCCTCGAGTTTCGCCTCCTACCAAACAGTATAAGCTCTTCCCCAATGAGCCTGAAACTGGGGTTCAGTTCAGTTGGAAGTGGGGTTGGAAGTGGGGTTCAGAGCAGTCTGGAACTTTTGTCTCCCTCCTGCTAGGGCAATCCAGTGGCACAGTCAACTGTCCATTCTCTGCGCGCAATGTGCGCACCTCCGGGACTTCCTTTCGCCACTCCTCTGAGTTTCCGCCTTACAGCCCAGGCTCCCTCTGTATGAGCCTTGGTCCCCAGGGTCTGGCCTAGAACTGGGGTTCAGTGCTGTCAGATCTGGGGTTCAGTACAGTCTGGAGCTTTTATTTCCTTCCCTCTAGGGAACACCAGCCAGGCACTCAGCCTCCCCCTCCTCTCTGGCTCCATCCTCTTCGCGCTTGCAACATGTCTCCGTACCTTAGGCTTTTACAGCTCCTCTGATTTTCCTTCTGGTTTTCTGTTTCCTTCTCGTTGTAGAGTTTCCAGTCAGTCGACTCTCCTGTAGTTCTGGGTAATGTCCATTTTGTATTTTAGTTGTATTTTATTGAAATTGTTGTGTGAGGCTGCAGTTAGGTGTTTACCTGTGCCGCCATCTTGGATTCTCTCTAGTAAATAATATTCTAATAACTGGTGTCAGGTGGGTGCAAGATTTGTTGGGATGATCACTTAAGTTATGTAATGCCTAATCACTGGAGCAAACATTCAAAACTAAAATAATATTGTAGATCAACTGTAATTGAAAATAAAAATGATATAAATGAATAAAAAAAATAAAAGAAGGGCTAGTTTTATCTGTTACTTTTCTGAGTTTTAGTTGCTCCTATGTAGAGCAACAGATGGGCAGTGGGTTGTCTTGTGTGCATCTCATTTCCAAAGTCAAGTTCTGAATTCTTTAAAATTTATTTTCCATTAGTCTTTCTTAAAAATGATACTACCATCCATTTATTTTTGTCAAGCCAGAAACATGGGAATGGTCTGGATTTCTACCTCTTACTTCTGTCAGAAAGTTCTGTAGGTCTTACCTTTAAAATACATAATTGTCTATCTTTACATTTCCAGTGCCACCACCCAGTCCAACCGCCACACTTTCTTGCCGGGGTTACTGACATGGCCTCTTTCCTGGTCTGCTTTCACTTTGGTTCTCTTCCACACTCCTGTCACCACCTCTCCTCCCCCTCTCATGTTACTACTTGAAAGCGTCTGCTAGCCTGCTGTAACTTAATACCACATCTCGGAGTTTTGCCCTTGTCATGCTCCCCTGCCTGGAATGCTGTCCCTATCCTCTGCCCCATCCTTTTCATAAAACCTATTATTCTTCAGATCTCGGCCTAAATTTCACCCTCTTGATCACTCATTATATGTATTTTCTATTATAATACCTACATACTCCCCTATCTTCCAGTGTTAAAATGTATATGCTTCCTTTGTCTTATTTATTTGCTTATAAGTTTATTGTCCATCTCAACCACAAGGATGTCAATGTCATGAGGGCCAGAGCCATGTTTGCCTTATTCACTCTGGTTGCCCCAGGACCTAGTCCAGTGAGTGTTGATCTATGAAGCAAGAGGTCATTGGTTTGAGTCCTGGTCAGAACACATGCCTGGGTTGCTGGCTAGATCCCCAGTGGGGGGGCTGTGCAGGAGGCAATGATTCATGTTTCTCTCATGGATGTTTCTATCTCTCTACCCTTCTCCCTTCCTCTCTAAAATCAATAAAGACACTTAGAAAAAAACCAAACTAGACTTAAAAGATTCTTGAATATAATGAAAATGGTGTGCAGCCACTTACTGGTGGGAGTGGCTGGAACCCAGACCTCGCCCAGGGTTTGGAGGCCACTCACCTCCTTGCAAAGAGGACCACTTGGCTCTGAGTCATGGCTCACAACAAGATCCTCCCGCGATGGCAGGAAGATTCTTACCTCTGAAGACAATGTTGGGACCAAAATATGATAGTCAAATTGCTGAAGAAAATTGGTTCTATCCCAGTATACTCTCAAATTATCTAAAGAGTTTGAAGTTTACTAGGGCTGCTGTAACAAGTTACCACAACTGGGTGGCTTAAAACAACAGAACTTCAGATTAAAGACAATCAGAAATCTTAAAAGCAGCTGGAGAAAAGCAGTTAGTTACCTACCAGGATGCTCCCATAAAACTGTCAGCTGATTTCTCAGCAGAAACTTTGCAGACCAGATGGGTGTAGATGAAATATTCGAAGTGATGAAAATCAAGAACCTACAACCAAGACTACTTTACCCAGCAACATTATAGGATAGATAAGGAGTTCCCAGACAAGAAAAATCTAAAGGAATTCATTACCACCAAACCAATATTACAAGAAATGTTAAAAGGGTCTCTTTTAGAAGAAGAATAAAACACATGAATAATAATAATAAAATAGCAATAAATATATATCAAAAATTTCTTTAAAGGCAAGTGGATTAAATGCTCCAATCAAAAGACATGGTGACTGAATGGGTAACAAGACCCTTATATATGTCTACAAGAGACTCAATTCAGATAAAAAGTAAAGGGATGAAAAAGGTATTTCATGAAAATGAAAACAAAATAAAAAGATGGGGTAGTAATACTTATACCAGATAAAACAAACTTTGAAACAAAGTATATAAAAAGAGATAAAGAAGGACCTAGCAACTCTAATTCTGGTTATTTACCCAAAGAAACTCAAAACGCAAAATTGAAAAGACATACATATATATCCATATATTTATTGCAGCATTACGTACTATAACCAAGATATGGAACCAATGTAAGTGTCCAACAATAAATGAATGGATAAAGAAGTGGTGCATGTATACAATGGAATAGATGCAGCCACAAAAGAGTGAAATCTTGCCAATCTGCTACAAGGATAAACCTAGAGGGTATTATGCTAAGTAAAATAAGTCAGAGAAAGACAAATGCCAGATGATTTCACTTATGTGTGGAATGTAAAAAATAAGCAGAACAGAAACAGACTCATAATATGGAAAACATTTGGAGATTGGGATCAGTGAAAAAGGTAAAGGGATTGAGAAGTAAAAATTGGTAGGTACAGAATAGTCATGGGGATATGAAGTTCAGCATAAGAAATATAATCCTATGTAATAAAGAGAGAATACGCAAATTAACCACCACTCCGCCACAAAGATGGCAGCACCCACAGCAGAGGTGAGGTCTCCCAACATAAGATGGCTGCACCCAGTGGAGGCTGAGTTTCTGTAATGAGCCTTAATGAGCAATTAGCAGGGACCTGAGGCTGTGACCTCCCCGCCCCCGTGGGACTTGACAGGGACCTCAGGCCATGCCCCCCACCTGGCAGGGCTGATGAGGGACCTCAGGCCACACCCCCTGCCCTGGTGCCAACTCGGGGGACCTCAGGCTGTGCCTCCCACCCCAGCACCGGCCAGGGGACCTGAGGCTGCAACCCCCTGCCCAGTGGGGCTTGACGGGGGGCCTCAAGGGGCGCATCCCACCTGATGGGCTTGACAAGGGTGGGACTGACCAGGTCTGGATCTAGCCCAATGCGGGGGAGGGGGGGTAGGAGAGAAGGTAGGGGGCATGGCAGGGTCTGGATCAATTTTGAGGTGCATGTGAGTGGATGGGGACTTGACCCAGCAACTCCAATTCTGGTTATTTACCCAAAGAAACTCAAAATGCTAAATTGAAAGACATACACATCCATATATTTATGGAGGAAGATTTTAATATACATTTTACTAATTTTATTTCATCTCTTCTATTATAGAGAAAGGGCAAATAGCAATATTAAAATACTTCCTCTAATTAATCTCCTTTTAAAGTGCACAAATTTTATGCACCAGGCCACTAGTCATCTATGTAAAAGCCTAAGTGACCAAATGACCAGTTGGTTGGTTGCTATGACACCCACTGACCACCACGGGGCAGATGCTCAACACAAGAGCTGACCTCTGGTGGTCAATGCACTCGAACAGTGAGAGTGTTGGTCAGCTGACATCCTGCCCACCAGTAGTCCTGTAGGTCTAATCTCCAGAGAATGAGCCAGGGACCAACTGACCGGCACCATCAGCACTTTCCCAACAGCATCGCCCGCATCCTGGAAGTTGGCCTCAGGCACTTCCCCTCCCTAGATGCTCCGCAAGGAAGAAATGATATAAAAGTGGCTGCCAGGTGGCTCCTGAGAACCGGCACAAATGTCAGTGGGACGAGTTCAGATCCGGATCCTGGGGCAGCAAAGGCATCCCACCACCTGCTGGAAGGGCTGATCACGTCCCGGCTCCCCACTCCCCTTCAGGATGGGTGCCAGAAGCAGGGCTCACGGCTGGTGAACGCTGCTGTGGTATCGCGAGCCTCTCCCGATCTGGACCGGGCGCGAGCCCTCGGCAGGCAGAGCGGGGCCAGGGCTGGGGCCAGCGTGAGTGGGAGTGGCAGGCAGGAGCGGCAGGTGTTGCTGGACTGCTGGTTTCAGACCGATCCCCGAAGGCCATTCCTAGGGACCCCACCGGTGCATGAATCCATGCACCAGGCCTCCAGTTGATAATATAATAACTATGGTGTCAAGATGGGTAGTAGATTTACTGGAGCAAGTTATGTAAATGTCTAATCATTGGGTTGTACACAAACTAATATTGTATTTCAACTGCAATTGAAAAATAAAAAAAAAAAGATACGTGGCTTTCTTATATATCAGTGTATCATTTGTGATAGTTTTTTAGGCATTAAATACTTATATAGTGTTTATAATACTTTGTGCCAGGTGTTGTTCTAAGTACTTTACATATATCAACTGATTTAATGTCAACACAGTAACATATGAGGCGGCTACTATATTTCTTCCTACTTTACATTCCAGGAAACCAAGGTACATGGAAGTTAAGCTACTGGTGTCAGGTCCCACAACTAGTAAGAGACAAAATCAAATGAAATTGAACCCAGGCAGTCTAACTTGAGTTTATGCTTTAAGATAATTTGCCTAATGCTTTACTTCATTATTACATCTTTTTCAACATCTACTTTACAGAGTAAAGTGGTGTTGGCAGACACTATCCAATACTGTCTCAATTGTCTGCCTCTTCTGAATGGCTGGTGTTACAGTTGGTCATTGACCAGGTTGGGACTCTTTCTGTGAAGGCCTTTGAGGTAATGGGATTTGCAAGGCATCCATTTTCTTTTCTACTTTCTCAAAGTGCGTTATGCTGGGCAGCAGTTGCTGTTTCTGTCACAGAATAAAAATGCACTGAATTTACAAAGCATGATGCTACAAGCCAGAAAAGTAGGACAAGGTTGGGCAAGTGAGTGTGGGAGTGATAAATAGTCCATCACTTGTTCATCTCTTTACTGTGCGTGAGGTCAGAGCCTGTGGGCTTCCTTGCAGTTGCTCATGTGCATTTTTTTTTTTTTTCCTGTTGGTGTGTCAGTGTCCTATCAGGATCGGGAGGTTTATTACAAAGATGAGGATCAGGATTAGCTATTCCTGAGACTGAGAATGTGTGGACTTCTATAGTCCTTCTTCTCATTCCACAATCCCAGCTGCTTAAAGAGTGACCAGGAAGGCCAGCCACCTGGAGGTTGTGCTGCTTTAATTCCTGTCTCAGCCCAAGGAGGAGATCACTTGTTTGAGCACAACACTATTTCTGAGCCTGGATTTCGCTCCAGAATCCTCCTTAACAGTGCTCCCGGCAGCCTCTGTCAACCAGTCAGATATGGCGTAAGATCATGCCTTCTTACCATCTCTGACTAGACCTTACCAAAGATGTCAGGCTGTGACAGAGAAATAAAAATTGAGACCTTCAGATACCTCTTACACACAGATGAGAAAACCAAGGTGGGAGATATGATGCCACTTGTTAAAGGTTATCTTTCTACTCGCAGCAGAACTGGAATTTACATGCGTCCTGCCTGCTGGGCCAGCCCCCTTGCTCAGCTCCTCTGCATTCTCCCAGGTTTCTTTGAGTCTAAAAGTTTCCCAGCTTCAGAGAATATCTTTGCTGGATATTTGTCACACCTTCCACATTGAAACTGGGATGGGAGCCAGGTTGGACCGTGAAAGTTTTAAATATGAAACTTGTTCCTAGCCCGCAGGTGCAGGACTCACTGCCGTTAATATTTAGAATTTAATTTAAAGCAATCCAAACAGCCGAAACTGGTTTGGCTCAGTGGATAGAGCGTCAGCCTGAGGACTGAGGGGTCCCAGGTTTGATTCCGGTCAAGGGCATGTACCTTGGTTGTGAGCACATCCCCAGTAGGAGGTGTGCAGGAGGCAGCTGATCGATGTTTCTCTCTCATTGATGTTTCTATCTCTCTCCCTTCTTCTCTGTAAAAAATCAATAAAATATATTTAAAAAAAATCTAAACACACCAAAAAACAAACCTGACACATTCTGGGGGATGCTTAATGAAGAAAGGCTGTCAAATTCAACACTTAAAATCTGTCAGGTCAGTGGCTGACTGCTGCGACAGCAGGAAAGAGACTGAGGTGACCACACGACAAGGCAGCCTTTGCAGAAGTCATTTGGAAAAATCACTGGACAGATGGATGACTCAATAAGCAGCAACCATGGAGAGAAGCAAGAATATGATTCTAGAGTCACTGTGTTATAATATTCAAAACGTTCAGTTTTAAAAAATATAAAAGACCTACAAAATAGGAAAGCATGGCCTATTCACAGGGAAAAAGGAGGAATTGAAAGAAACTGTTCTTGAGAAAGCCAGTCACTAGATGTTGGCATTCTAGAATCTATACTAATAATAGACAAATATCTAAATTGACTGTACCCTTGTGACACCCAAAGCCAATCAGGATTGAGTATGCAAATTAACCCAACAAAGATGGTAGGCCTGTGGGCAGTGCGCAAGCTGGGGGGGGGGGTGAGGGAGATAAGGGTATGGGGGTGCAGTGGGGGGAGAGGGTGGGTTGGATGAGAGGCATCCCTGGAACCCCACCCCATTTGAGCCTGTGGCCAGTGCATGCATGTGCTCTGGCACTGAGTGGTTGGGGTCCCGGGGCCCCCACTGGAGTGTCTGGTCCTGTCAGCCTGGCCTGGGTGTGGCTGGAATTTGCAGTCCTTTTGGTTTGTGCAGCCCCTGAACCAGAAGTGGAAACCAAGAGCATGGGGAGCACTAGGAATGCTGGGAATCGTAGTTCTGGTGGCAGACGTATTGAGGGATCTCCTAGACCACATGTGTCAAACACAAGGCCCGCGGGCCAAATCCGTCCCGCCAGGCCTTGCAATGTGGCCCGCACCGCGCTGTCATCACTGCACTCCGCTGCGTTTCCATCACAATGACAGTTTATGACTGTTCAGTAAACCATTCGGCCCGCGATTTAGGCTGGATTTTAGATTTTGGCCCCTTCTCTGATTGAGTTCGACACTCCTATCCTAGACACTAGAGCAAAGTAAGTCTGGAGCAAGTTACTGTTGCGGGTTGGGGATGGATGGAAAGCAAAGGTGAGAGACATAAATAAAGTCAGAGTGTTGAGGAAAAATTAAAGGAAAGATATCCTGCAACTTCTAGGAAATCACCAATAAAGCAAAGAAAAAAAAAAGACTTCTATTATTCTGTGAGCACTATACCAATTCGCTCATATGATTGCAAAGACAGACAGAAACTCCCAGATTGGAGAGGGCTTCCCTGAGGGCTCCCAGACTGGAGAGGGTGCAGATTGGGTTGAAGGACCACCCCTGAGCACGAATCTTCATGCACCGGGCCCCTAGTTTAACATAATTACTAAAAGAAAACTTTGTTGGCTGTTACAGGAAATGCCATGCTTTCTTTTGATTTCACATTGTATTGTGAATATTATAAATATTTTGCCCATTTCTCCTAGTGGACAACACTGTTAGGGGAAAAATGACCAGTTTGCACTTGAGGAATACTAAAATTGAGAAAATTTTACCCATAGACCTGGTCTTGAAAACATACATACTCTCATCATTTTATTAAATGTTTAATGTTTGCACAAATGAATAAAATTAGATAACATTCACTTATTAAAGAATTTGAATTTAACACATTGTTCTTTTTTGGAATATAGTTTTTTTGGGTATGACATAGAAAATAATGCCTTTATCCCATAATCTGTCCCTATTTTTGGCTGCTCAGACATGGTACATTCCTATTTCCTTGCCCTTCTAATGCTAGTGGTGTTGCCGGCAGAATGAGAGTTACTTCTCCTTTCCTGCTGAGTCACATGAGCCAACACACTCTGTGTAACCTGGGTGGGTTTGGCCAGAAATCGGAGATCATCTTGAAAGCGAGGAAAGGTTCTTCCCACAGAGACTCAGGGGAATCATTTGTCAATGAACAAAAGTTTAGACTGGCGATGGAACTGGCTGTTAACATGTTAAACCTACAGCCAGAATTCCGGGTTACCCCCAGACCAGCTCTAAGTAGTTACAAAAAGCCTGAAAGATTTAGTTGCACATCTGTGTGCCCCAAGTCCACTAGTGAGTGAGCTGGCTACTCTCAACCGAGTCTCTTTTTTAGTCCAAAGCAATGGCAGGAGAGCTGTACATTTGAGAACATGAGACCTTCATGCACACACATGATGGAGCCCTGGCTTGGAACCAAACGCAGGAGGATGTAGCAGAGGCAGGAACAACGGTTCCCTTAGCATCTTTCTAGAAGAGGAGTTTGCTGGTGAGGAAGACGAGCAGGATCTGGATGGCATCTGTGATGGGGCTGAGGAAGATTTTGTTGGCGAAGCTTTTGGCTGTGGTTAGAGTTGAAGTTGCGGTCTGGGCTGTGGTTAGGATTCGGTTTGTTGTTGGGCTTCGGGTTGAGGTTAGGAATCGGTTTGTCGTTAGGCTTTGGGCTGTGGTCGGCCTGGTCATGGAGGTCATTGAGGTCGTGGAGGTCATGGAGGGTGATGCTGTGATCATTGCTGGAGGAGAAAAGGACATCAGAACCCACATTGGAAAATGAGGCTAATCTGATGGGACACTGGGGCCAGAGTTCATGAGCAGAATTCAGTAAGCACGTCTCAAAGGCCAAGTGTATGTAGCGGAAGGGAAAGCTATGGTGTATAAAATGTTACGGAGAGAAAGAACACTATCTACCCCTAAGGTCTACATAGTCCCGGAAGGAATTTACATAACTACAGAATTTGTTGTTGGGTAGGTTGTCAGCCCTCAAGTGTCCTTAATATTGCATTAGATCCATCAGGCAAATATGATCCAGAATGGCACAGTTTTATTTTTTGTTGCTAATTTCAAAGGTTGCATGTGAAGCTTGTAAGAACTAGTTACCAGCCAGAACTGAGAATGGCCACTCCTGCTTTAAAGTAAATGGAAAGAGGTGCTGTCCAAACCTCTGAACCCCTTTCTGTGGTTGCTGAGGCCCTGGCCATTTCCTGTGCAGTGATCTGATCACACACTGGTTCTCTGAGGTTGCCTTGCTGAGAAGCAGAGAAAGCCAGGTCTCTGGGGCAGGAGGTGGGGGTGAGGAAGTGGGAGAATGGATGTCTAATACTGGAAAAGCTAGAGTTTGGCAATGATACCTGCAAAGATCTAAGTGGACCACAGAGGGGACTATAGAGAAGAAGGGACAGCTCGACCTGTGTTGCTCAGTGGTTGAGGTCATGGTTTGATTCCCAGTCAGGGCACATGCCCGGGTTGTGGGCTTGATTCCCAGCGAAGGGCGTGCAGGAGTCAGCCAATCAATGATTCTCTCTCATCATTGATGTTTCTATCTTTCTCTCTCTCTCTCTCTTCCTCTCTGAAATCAATAAAGGTACATTAAAACAAAAAAGAAGAAGAAGGGACATGAGCAGAATTTAATAAGCAAATCCAGTGAGTTGCTTAGGCCAATGCATTCTTCTGCTACTTGGAGGGGCCTGTAAGTCTGTGGCATTGTCTTATCTCCCTTAGTATTTACCCAGGGCAAATGTTTCTCTAGCATCTCACCTAGCCAGAAAGTCTGACACAACTACTTTATTATTATTTTTTTAACTGGATTTTATTAGCATGGAGATAAGGAGTCCTGATAAGAAACATACTTCTCCCCCCCCCCACCCCCCTTACTTCTTAGCATTTACACTCATGCTCATCTCAAAAATGTCCTCGAGGAAGAAAATAACACCCAGTCTTCTCACAGAGGGGAAACCACCAAGGCAACAGTGAAGGCTTTCACATAATAGTTTGTTAGGCATAATCATGTCAACATTTGTTTTGAAAATGGATATCTCTTTGACCGCATTTGCAGCATATGATGGGTGGGAAACCGGCAGCGGGATCCTGAGGAAGACTAGTTACCTGGACATTAGGGAGGCTGATATTCCTTGTGTGTAGTTGAATCTTGTATTTAAAACCTTCATTTAAAAAAGGGATTGTCTATATAGTTTTGATGTAAGTCTAAGGAAAGTGTAAGAAGTATAAGGTGGGATTTGAGCCCTGGTTTTTCCATTTACTTTCTGAACCTCAATTTCTTGAATTTGTTTTAGTTCCCTAGAGGGGAGTGAGAGAACACAGGGGACAGAGAGAGGGAAGGAGGGCGAGAAGCCTCAGGATGGTTTGAGGTTGAGGACCACACCCTGGGGAAGAACAGTGGAAATTCCTGGTGGTAGTGGTGGTGGCCAAAGGCCATTCTGAGAATGAATGAGTGTTTGGTATTCTTACGCTGTCAACCCTTCTGTGTGCACATCTGCCCCCTCAGTCCTGTAACGCCTGCAGCACTGTGAAGGTTTTATGTGAGCGGGAAGTCTTTGTGGAAACTAAGGAAGGAGCTGACTTTCACGCTGGTGTCTACGAGGTGCTGAACAGGAATGGGTCCTGAGGAAGCAGGATTCTGCAGTCACAGGTGAGTCTGAGGATATAAGGCCCCTGGGGATTGGCAGAAATCTTGGGGATGGCTTTTGTTTTCTACAGAGCATAGAAAAAAGGGTGGAGCCAATCTTATATAGGTATCAAGGTGCTAGGAGGCTCAACTGATATCTGGGTAACACACGCCCAGAAAGCTTTTGTAGGCCCCCCACTAGGTAACTTTCAGGCTGATTGTGTGCACTGCCAGATATGTAAAGGGGCTGCAAAGGAACTTACCTTGATTTTCCAGTTTCAGATAAGAAACGGTGGCCACTTTGAAGAAATTGATAACGAAGGCTCTGTGGAGGGCAAATCAATGAAAGATACTGGTGAGGACCTCAGCCGTGGAGTCCACAAGTTCAGCTCACATTTCTGCCTTCCAAGATGACCCCAACCTCTTAATTCCTTTTGTGCTTACTTTCCCTACAGATCATTGAATACTGGTCTGCTCTATATCGTCTTTTTTTCTTTCTTGTTCCACCTATCCATGCATTCATTGGTTACCTTCTGTATGTAGCCTGATCTTGTCCTATTGGGATGATGTTCTAACTAACTGAGCTACTTGGCCAGGGCCTCTATATTGTCTTAACTAAGATCTATGATTTTGCTCCTGAGAAGATCATGTTTATCCCCCCACCTCGCTCCTCCCAAACCAACCAGCTTCATTCCCTTAAACTCCCCATAGGCTGGTATACACCTCGGGTCTTTGTTCAAGCCAGTCCTTCTGCCTGTGATATCCATCCAGACCATGTCTGCCCATAGAGGTAACAGTAATTCTATGAAGTTGTTTTCCCTGTTATCCTTCACCCAGACAGATCTCCGTCAGAGGGACAGGCCCCTCTACGGGTTGTCCTGCTGTGAGCCTCTCCTCCCACTAGAGGGCCAGCTCTTTGAGAGCAGGTTCTGTTGTCAACAACGATTGACACATAGTATTATAGGTGCTTAATGTTCATGAAATGATCCGTAGAGCTTGGTCTGTTGTTCTTTTATTAGTGGGTCCATAATTATATCAGCCTCTTGTTCACACATTCGACAGTTAATTGAGGAGAATGTACACCATGCCAATCACTGTGCATGGTGCTGAGGGGCAGTAGTGAATCAGTTAGGCATGGTCTTACCCTTGTGGCACTTCAGAGAGACAGATTTTAAATGAATAATCAACCAACAGACTGAGTAATTGATCACAGTGGTGACATGAGCTCTGACAAAGTAGTGGAAGTTGAGAGAGTGGAAACAGGGCTTGGGAACTTATCGGGGAGTTTAGGGACAGTTCAAGTACTGGATGGTGAGCAAGTGATGTTGAACCTCAGTACTCACTTCTGCACAGGCCCTGCCTCACTGTAAGTAAGGCTCCTGTGCCCTCCCAGCACAGTGGAACCCTCACAGTGCCGTGCTGCTCCCCTCTCTTTGTCAGCTTTGCTGATCAAGGCCGTGTGTGTACATTGCCACCAAGCAGCAAAGCCAGTGCATCACAGCCGCTGTGAGCCAGGAAGGTCTGGAGACCGCACTATCAGCAGGAATGTGCTGTTTCTATTGCAGTGACACCGCTTTGTCTTTTACCTATTGTTGCATGGGGTGTGGAGGCTTTAATGAGGAGAGATGAAGGGACCATTGTCTTAATTAGCCTGGCTTGGCTTTTAAGGGACTGCGCTTGGGCAAAGTTGGATTGTTGGAGCTCCTTCGGGATTTTACTTTTGCAAGTGGCTCTGTGGGAGCCGGCGAGGTCCAAGGGCAGGGCAGGTGAGGAGGGATGGCGGTGAGATGGGAGGGTATGGCAGCATGCTCACTACCATGTCCATAGAGCCTCGGTGGACAGGACCCGCTGGATAAACTTGTCCTTTCAGCACAGAAAGGACCGCAAGGACCCTCAGCTGGGTTTCTGAAGTGAGCTTGGGAGCCATCCCTGGCTGCAAGGAAGGCTTTTGTTAACGAGCTGTGTCCATTCAGTGTGAACTAGGAGGGGAGTTATTACACAATCAGCACACTTTCTGTTAGAAGCTGTTTCCAAAATGAACCTATGTTTTGAAAATGACTCAGCAGTGTGAGTATAGAGAATCTGAAGCAAACAGGGCGCAGTGACAAAGATTCTTTGCTTGACCTTACCTCTTCCTGGCCCATCTCTGCTCTTGCTTATAAAATCCAGCGTTAGCAAGAACGCTGCTAAGTCTGTTTAGCAAGAACCTCTCACCCTCGATATCTGATAACCCTCAATGTCTGATTGAGTTCCTCATTTGCTGCCATCCCCACATGGTATCTGATCACCTAGGCCTGCCTCCAGCAACAATCCTGTTAGGCCAGCTTAGCCAGAATTCCTCTTATAGGCCTGATGTTTCCTCTCAGGAACTTTCCATCCACTGACCCCTCCCTGCTCCTTGGCTATAAATTTCTACCTGCTCATGTTATATTCAGAATCGAACCTGGTTCTATATGGAGGTCTATTCTCCTATTGCAGTCGTCCTGAATAAAATCTTTACTTTACTATATGTATATATGGATTATTCATTCTTTCATTCATTTTGCTTTAACCACTGTCCAGCTCTGGTTTTCTTTATCACCAGTTCTTTCTATTTATGTTGTGCAGACTTGGTGCGCGCGCGTGTGTGTGTGTGTGTGTGTGTGTGTGTGTGTGTGTGTGTAAACTCCTATAAATAAAAGGTAGGACAAAGAATGGTAAGGCAGAAAAGGAGTACAAGTACACTTCTCCACATCATATCTGTATTGTATTTTGTGTCCTTCAAGATCAGTGTAAAACTGCATAAACCCAACATGAAACTGTAAAAGCCCAAGCAAATCATATATAGGTAGGTTCTTACTGTATCTCCACTGTGATGTTCGTGTAACGAGGAGATTGCCAGTTGGCCTTGAGGAAGTTTTCACGCGTGTCGGTCACGTGATAGAGGACGCTGCCGTCGCAGTACAGGTCCGCTCTGTGCCAGAGGCCTACTGTGCTGTTGTTGCTTGTGTCCACCGCTCTCAGGGCCACAGAGTTGGTGATGTTGTTCACAGGCACCAACACTGAGAAGAAATGATAAGGCGACAGTCAGCCATCTATGTAGTAAGACAAGGGATGAGGGCTATGAAATCAAAATTAACTGTAAAAAAAGAAAGTTACAAACAGCATGCAAATGCAGTATTTTTGTAAAAGAAGTTGAAGGAAAGACATCAAGATATCAACTATAGTCATTTCTGGGTAGTGGGATTACAGATGATTTTATTTGCATTTGCTAAATTTTCCATGGCCAAAGGTAGACAAAAGGAGAGTTTTGCTATCTACCAGGGGTGAGATTCGAGGCCCCCTCCTAACTCTGGGGCCCAGTTCTCATCTGTCTGATGAGGGATAAAGATGCTCTGTCCTTCTTTCAGGGGGAGTGGGATGTGGGCAGAGCAGGAGTTGGTGCATGTGACAGGGTCACGTGGGCCCCAGAAAGTGTTCCCGGAAAATCGGGAATGTTATTCCAAATTAGAGCGGAGCCCACTTCCTAGTCTTGCCGAAGCTCTTGGTGTCTGTAGATGAGGGCGAGGGAGGGGGCCTCTGAGCTCCAGGGGCCCTAATCCAGGTACCTCTTAAATGACTCCTCACAGTCTCCAACCTCCACTCAGGTGAATCTCTTATGACCTCGCTTAGCCTGCATTCACAGGAG